TGTATCTAATGTTACTGCTTGTTTTAAACTTTGTTGCAGATTTTATTGGACTAACAACATTTGTGTGTGTGCATCCATTCTAATTATTTTGGCAGAGAGAAAAGCTTGTATGAGCTAGTTCAGACTGCATATGGGAGAGAGGTGGGCTTGCCAGTCATGTTCAGAACATGACTGAAAGATCTGGCAAAAAAAAAAAATCTGTGGGAAATGGAAAAAATCCACCCCACTTATCTTCAAAACTCTGTAGTTGGTCAGAGAGCTGAGCTGACAGCAGTAGGAAACAGATTTAGCTGAGTCTGAACAGCTCTGTTACCCAATTTTCACAGTGCTCTAAATGATAATTTTAAATAAAGGGGAATTCCCTGTTTGTTTAATTTCAGAAGCTCCAAGGTACCTGATATCTTAACTGGATAAGGCTCTAGATTTCTGGGAGAAAGTTTGAGTTATGTAAGAACTGGAGTTACAACAGGAGGGATGTAAGAAAAGCAGGAGGGAAACTACCCAAAAAACCCCCCAGACAATGTGGATTTTTGCCACAGTGAAGTTTAATAAAGATTCTGATAAAGAAAATTATGTACATAACTTTCTATTAAATAATTTAAAAAATAAAATTCCTTTTACAGTTTTTTGTTCTGATTAATCTATAAATTAAATTATTCAATTTTAAATAACCTTTATCTAGTCTTCTTTAATTCTCTTTTATTTTGGATTTGCTTTAAATTCTGCACAGCAAGGAATTAATATTTGTAAAATGTTCTGGTTAGATTAGGTTTTGGAGTACTTTGTTTTCACGTTAGAATATTCTTTTATAAATCTTTGATATATTATTTCATAATTTCAGTCTTGTTAGTAAAAAAAGTTTGAAATCCAGTAAAAGTAGATTATGTAGCAAAAATCTTACATTTTAAAACACAGTCTCTTTAAAGAAGAAAATTATCTAAATATGATCTAATTGTAGAATTTATAAATAATCTGTGGAGTTTCATGCTGTGGAAGGTCCATATTTATAGTAGTTTAATTTGAAATGCAAACAATGTTCTAACAACCTAGATTTTCTGGAAATAGATTTTAATTCTGCTGAAGAAAAGCACACAAATAGAGTGCACAAATAGATATGTGATTGCAATGAAAGAAAAAAAAAAAAAAAACACACCCCTAGAAGAAAGGCTTGAGCTTTTAACCTTTAAAATAATACAAGCAGAGCTATACAGAAATACAGTGATGTGGTTATCAAATTAGGCAACCGTAATTAGCCAGACTTAGACCTTCCTATGCAAGGTTGGGTTGTAGTGCTGGGCTGTGCTCTTTGGTGGGCTGGGGTGTTCGGCTGCCTTTGTAAAGAGGGGAGTGGGGGGAATTTCTCTCTCTAGGTGCTCTTCCTTAACCCGCTTCTGAACATAGGTTAACCCTTGAAAAGATGTCACTTCAAGCCAGGGAAAAAAATGTACTCTAATGTGTAAGACTCAGGATTCACACACAGCCATCTTTTTGATACAACCCCCCTTCAGTTTCTTAGGATTGTTCACATCCAGGTTGCAATTAAAGCCCACAGGGTTCTGAGACACTGTTCTGTGAAATGGGGTGTTTTAGAGACTTTTCCAGTAAGCCTCTAAAATGATCCACTAAGCATGTGCAAATACCAGTTTTCAAAGACTTAAAGCTAGCCAAAGCAGAATAAAAGACAAAAATCCATCTTGCCAGATTTCAGGTTTTCACTCAGGAGATTGGAATCACCCGAACATTCTTCAAACAGACAGTCAAGAGAAAATGAAAACATCTTCTTACCAAGTAATCAGTTTCCTTTCAAAATTTATCTTTTGAGACAATTTAGCAATTTACTTAATTACTCTAAGTAGTTTGAGACAATGCAAGAGGGGGAAAACTAAAGTTCAAATAGTACATGGCAGAGAAACAAAAAAATAGAAAATAAAGTTGTACAATGTAGTTTTTTAAGCAGCTTTAACAGGCTTTATTCTGTCTAAATTGAAACACACTGCATTTACTAGAAAACAGTCTTTAATAAATAACTGCATAAACTTAGAAGTATTAATTGGTCCTTCAGAGATCACTTTTTTACTTTTTTTTAGTGCAGGAAAACACATACTGAACCTGAACCTGCTTCTGATTAAGTCAGTGAAAGCAGGACTGATAAACATTTAGTTTGACAAAATGAATTCAAGATGTTGGAATTATTTCATCCATTTTATTAAACATTTTTCCTGAATCCTCCATTCACTGAAACTAAGATTTTAGTATGTCTGTTAACATCTTCCCAAGAATTTTTTAGGCTAAAGGTAAGCTAAATGCATCCAGAAAGGTGGACTGAAAGATGTCTATTACAAAGAAGGTAACATGTGCACTTCAATAAATAAATCACCAAGGAATATATTAAAATAATCCCCTTACTTGTTCACACAGGATAGAGCACCCAGGATAAGTATAATGTATACACATGGTTTTATGAAACTTTTTATTGGTTTGGATATCCTTTTTATCCTTAATAAACTACCAATAAACACAAGATGTCTTTTACTCATGCAGAGAAAACATCTAGTTGTAAATGCACTACTTTTTAAATAGTATTAGTTAATTAACTTGCCATGTCTGTGGACTACGATGCCGTTTGCTATAGAAAACAAATATAAGGCAAATAAAATACTTCTCTGCCCAAAAGGTTTCATACTGGTATGGAGCAATAACTATTCCTTTTACAAAGTTTGATTGTTTTTATTCTTTGCCAAGCAAATGAAAGTCAGTGGGTTTAGGTTTTTTGATTAAGAAAATCGTACTCAGTTAAGAAAAACTGATTCATTTGAGTGTGAAAAGTGCTTGACATGGATACTTCCTAAATACACTAGCTAGGTTAATCAGTGATTTTGCTTATGAAATATTGCTGAAGCATTTGCATCTGTGGCCACGTGTCATGTGAAACGAGAAAAAAAGCACATGCAGACTTTCTAAGCTAAAACTGCTTGTTAGGTATCTGTGAGCTGATCATACTTGAACAGAAAATCATGACACTTAAACTGCTAAGTGAACACGTGGAGAGTATTACACTGTATATGCAATGAAACACACATTGTTTATTTTGTGTAGGATTCTCCTGCTCCCTTAAATACATACAAGATGGAAACTCACAGACTTTTTTTAACCTTTAGCTGCTATCCTTGTACAGAAACTACTAAGCAAAACCTGAAGTACTAGTAAACCACTTGAGTTCATTTTATTTCATCTAACACTGATCACATTTCCAGTTGACAATAAATATAATGCACTGCTGACAGATGTGTAGAAATGTATATACAATTAGATGAAGAAATATGGGTCAAGGCAGTTCAAATCTCAGTTTATGCCTTTACATTTCCTTAAATATAGCTATAAAATTCTTACCTGGTGATGCATAGCCTCCTGCAATATCAGCTTTCCCCTGCTCATCCAGACTGCTGCTGGGGAGGCTGCCCTGCCACCATAGTATCGGTGCATCTCAGGCTTGATTTGAGCATTTACTGGAGTAAATGAGATTTTTTGCTTCATGTGCCTTTGGGTAAGGCCTTGGTGCATTTTCCCAGTTGGGATGTAGTATTTCCTACATTTCCTGGAACATATTCAAGACATGAAAGCTCTGAATCTGTGTCTTGGGTTAAATGAATGCAATGAGAGGCAAACTAAAGCATATAGGAGATCAACAGAATTAGGAGCACAAAATGGGAGACATTTTTGTTCTGAGTTTCTTCTTCCTTTAAAAAAAAAAAAAAAAAAAAAGTAGATTCAGACAACAGACCCATATTTGATGGAAAGATGGTGGGTTTTTGTTTGGTGGTTGTTTTTTAACCCAGAGGAGGATGTGTGGAGCACATGATAGGCAATTTAAAACTGAAACTTGCAACACTTAAGATGCTGCGTGTTGCCTTAACAATTTGCCACTGATTTTCTTGGTCAGAATATGAATATACAGGAGCAGTTATTCTTACTAAACTATCCAAACTGTTTGTTTCTTTCCTAGCCATTTTGGTCTTCTACAATGTAATTGGGCTTTTACAGATCTGTAAGACAATCTTTCTCTTGGCCTTTGTAGTATCCATATGGTAAATGGTTCTCCTGTTGCAGATGAGCTGGCAGCTTTGCTTATACATAGCAAAAGTGTTTCTTTGGGGAAAAAATCTGTGTAATTAATTTTTAAAGCAAGGAATAGGCAAGCACACACTGCAAATTGGATTGCAATTACTGGTCTAACAAGAAGTGCTCCTCGTCTTGCTTTGTCTGCTTTGTCTGAGAAAGGTCGATCTGTTGTCACTGAAAGGGAGCCATCCACATTCCCCTGGTATAACTGTGCCACTGAAATCCATTGTGGTCTAAATCGACTTGAAATTTTGCAAGTTTCCTAGAAATTACTCCAAAGAAAAGAACCCCAACAATTGAGCTAGTAAGAATACATGCATTTGTAAGAGTGAAGAGTCTTCCAGATGTACGTGAAAGTTCCGTTCATTCACCCTTACGGTCTGTTCCTGTGATTTAGTGTGGATGCAGTGACTGCTGGTGGTTGGAATACAGATAATGGGAGGCAGAAGTTTCTATTCTGACTTTTTGTGTAATGACTGACTTTTCACTTAATTTCTCTGTTTCTTTCTGAGAAATACATATATACATGCATTTATCCCTCCATCTGTCCATCCATATATGTACTCGCTCTTGCACATCTTTTACAAGCTTTTGGGGCAGTTTCATAAGCCTGTGTCATTTACTTCACAATATCTAAAGGAAAAGTGAAAAATACTGACATCATTGTGGTTCACATCAAATTATTATCTATTTTTCTAGGTTTGGTGTAAAAAAAAAAAAAAAAAAAAAAAAAAAAAAAAAGACCTTAAAGGAACCTATATTGATTTGTTAATCTGGCTGCATTACAAACTCTCAATGCAAAAAAAGTTGTTACAGAAAAAACAGATTATTGCAGATAATATCACAATGCATTGAAATACTGTCACCTTCTTCTTTAACAGGTCTATGGAAATGCAAGATCTAGCCAGTCCTCATAATCTTGTTGGAAGTAGTGATGCACCGGGTAGTTCCAAACTGGATAAACCTAATCTCAGTAGCACATCAGTTACAACGAATGGAACAGGAGGTAAGTATAATCCAGCAAGAATTATGAAAAAATGTCAGTCATACTAGTGTAAATCTACTAATTCCAACAGCACTTTTTCAATTTGTACCAATTGAAGAGGCAAAACTGATCAAAGGTGAAACAAGGAAAATCTTGAATCAATTGATTTGAACAAAATTGTAAAGGTTTGCTTATACCTGTTGGTAACTTGAAATAGATTTAATTTTCTCCATCATGCTTCATTGTTAAGTCATAATTTACACTTATACCCTGAGCTACACACATTTAGGTTAATTTAAATTCTCTGTCAGAAGTGCATCAAAATTACACAAAGGTAATTATTATTTTTTTTTTTTACATTATGAACATGCTAATTCCATTTCTTGGCAGGTAATGAAGGGTTGTCGTAAAGAGTATGGGTACCACATTCAGAGATGGAGCTCTGTTCTCGTTAGTGTCCATGGGAGCATCACCATGGATACGAGTCAAACTAGAGTTTAAGCCCTCCTGTTTTGGAGTTTATACATTGCTGTCTATTTTAACAGCATCAAGAAAAAAATTTTATTTTGTTCTTTCTTGCCACAATGTAAAGCTTTTTATTCACTTATCCCTATTTAAACCAAAATCTGTCAATGTCAATAAAAAGTGTTATGTGCCTATGAGGGTAGCAGAGCTCTGCAGAGAAGGGCTGAACCGTTAAGGTTCATCCTGTTTATATTTTTAAATAGAATCTTTATTCCAGCATAAAGAGAAGGGAAAACTTCAAGCATACCATTAAAGGACACTAAAAACTAGATGCCTCTATATTATACTTGTTAAATAAACCAGATAAAATAATACAAAAACAATACAATGCAATTAAAAGGCTTGGCTCAAAGTGCAAAAACACATCCTTGCCTTGAAGAATATTCATGTGCACTGAATAGACACTGAGAGAATGAACCGTTATATCATTCCTGTTCTCAGGAGACAACATGACTGTGTTAAATACTGCAGACTGGTTGCTGAGTTGCAGCACTCCTTCTTCTGCAACAAGTATGAGAGACCCTGCTACTGTGCATGTGTGTGGTGGTGTGCTGCTGTGACTGCTGTGTAACTTCTCTCTTGGTTTGCTCTATTCTTTTGTTATGTGGTTTGAACATTTTCATGGGTTTTCCCTTCCCCTTTTTTTCCACCCTTTCTCAGAGGCCTTTCCCACAGCCAGGAAAATGGTAGGAAGTTGCAATAAATAGTTGTCTTACAATACTTTGAAAGTCATTTGATGATCAAGGAGAATTTAATGCACTTAAAATTGGCTTAACTGTCTACATGTTCTGAGAGACTGGGAGAGCCTCGTGGTGGTCAGCATTGCTGGGAAGTGCCAGTAGTCAGCATTGCCTGAAGACAGACCAGTGGATTTTCCACGGAAATAATAATAATTATATATGTGACACTGTTGCAGTACATATGGGATTAAGGTGCTTAAGTTGTTCAAGTTTGCACTAAAGTTGGGAAGATCTTAAAAGCTTTCCTTCTGAAAAAACCCTCAGAATTAGCTTGCCATTTGTAAACCACATATCCAGAGAGAATTTACCAAAAAAAAAAGTTCCAACTTGAGCACAGAAGATCATTTGCACTACAATAACTGATTCCATGTGAATGCTCCTGCTCAGTTACAAGAATTTAAGTTTAAGGAAGGACTGAGCTAACTTAGTCTGTCACCTCAGTTAACTGTCCAGCATGATTGGATAAATGTGGAAGGTAGTAATTTAAGTACCAATTATCAGTAGTGAGGAAATGTAATGTGAAAGTCCTTGTATTACTTGCCTGAAATCGGATTTTCCATAGGCAGTAGAATATTTAGATCTGTGCTTCTAGTTGAATATATTCCTGTATACTCAACACTTATGGCTTGCTAAAAGAAAGAGGAGAATCTTTCCTATGACAAACTGTGTGGTTTATTGTTTTATGTGAGCTTTTAGTCAGACTTGTTTGCTCTAATAGTTATTGCACTTGCTTGTCCTGCTTCATGCATAGTAATAGCATCTCTTGCCCCTAAAACTCTGTGTTCATTTTCAGTCCTTAATGTAGAGAGGTTCTTTAGGAAAAAAAGAGGTTTGCAGAGTAGTAATATTGGTCAGCTAAGTCCTTTCATCAAGTAAAGAACTTACATTGTAGAAGCTGTTGCCTGTTGGGAGCTGTATTCTGAGTTCATTTTAGAATAATTAAGTTTGGAAGGGATCCCTGGAGGTCAGCTGGACCAATCCTTGCTCAGAGCAGGGCCAACTTTTCTGTTAGATCATGTTGCTCAAGGCAGCATCTAGCTGAGTGTTGAATATCGCCAAGGTGGAGGTGCCACAGCCTCTCTGGGCAGCTGTCCCAGGGCCTGACTACTCTCATGGCGGAGAATTTCCTTCTTATATCTGATTGGATTTTTCCCTTGCTGGTGTCTGCGGCCTCCTGTTGTTTCATAGAGCACCTTCTAGGAAGAACGTGCCTTTGTTCTTTGTCATCTTTACACTTTCCTATTGGATAGCTGCAGGCAGTAATTAGCTGTCCCCTCAGCCTCACAGTCATGGTAGCTTTACTCTGTTGGTATGTTCAGTCTTCACTGTTAACAACACTCAAATGTATTTCCAACTTGAGATTGTTTTTCATATTATTTTTACACTTTGAATATTAAAAAAAAAAAAAAAAAAAAAAAAAGCTAATCCTCACTTTAAAAATAGGACATTAAATATATAGTCTTTAAAGTATTCATCCAAAATGCTGATTCAGACTCTTAGTCTTTGCATTATGTCAAGAGCAATTGCCCTAGTAGTATTAGAGCCATGCTTTATCTCACATATGGGAAACGGGGAAGATTCTCTGGTTTTAACTAGTGACAGCTTTTATTTTGATTTCATCTTTAAATGTTCCTGCATTTGATGTGATGATAGAATATTTTGGGGGTTTTTTAGTTAGTTTTGTACTTTTCCCCCTCTTGGTTTAATGTCATGCAACATAAAGAAAGAAAGGTAATAGTCCAAATCTCTCGTTACACTGAGAAAAGACCTTGATTAATTCCTTACTGTGATAAAATCTGAATGTAGTACTGTTTAAAGTATCAAGCACATATAAAAATACTTTCTACATGTATTTTTCAACAAACCACAGTGCCAATATGAAGTTTTTCCTCAAGTTAAGTACATGAGAGAGTTTCTTTTGGTTTAGATCCTTTTCTGCTTGACAGGGAGAGAAAAAGATGGTGACTACTGGTGCTGATGGAGGTGCACTGCAGTTGGCATTAACTAGAACTAGACACAACTCTAAACATTTCAATTCATCACTGAAGCTTTTGTTAAATAAAACAGGCACATACTGGGCTGTCTTTCTGGATGCAATACTGAACATAGGTTTGTAGCTTAGTATGGGCAATAGTGGAATACCTTCTTGAATAGAAAGAGATAAATGTACTAAAAAGTTGGGCTTTTTCATGTAGGTAAATGTCCACACTCTTCAGATAAAGACACACATCTTATAAAGGAAAATATGACCAAAGATCGTCAAAGGGAAAAATACAGATCCTTCCAACTTAGTATGATTTTTCATTCTCCTACTGGAGTACATGCAGACATTTGTATATAGTTATCAGAAAACAAATTAATTTACTTTTCATGCTTCAGGCAACAATACCTGTTCTGCATGACTGAGAGACCTGAGGTTCAGTGGAGGCAATAATTTTGTGACAAATGACCCATAAGCTTTTTCTTTATGTATATTTTATTGAACTGATGGAAATAAATTCACATCTTTCTCATCTAAATAGAGAAATGGGAATGATTGATTACTCTTATGAATGACTGTTTTGTCTAAGTTTTGTCATAACTTTTTTTTTTTTAAATGAGAAGATAATAGCCAACAAAATGACGAGGAGTGAGCAACAGCTTGAAAAAATGTGACTAAAATTCTTCCCTGATGATTTCATATTGAATTAATATGCTGTTGCAGGGAGAATGTATGGGCGTGGCAGTTTTATTGAAGAGAAACACTGATGAAAAGAAGTTTACATTTAAAAGCCACGCTTTCAAATATTTTTTAATCTTGCACAGTAAATGGAAAGATACAACTATAACTTGTGTAAGTAGGTACTACTTGGTTTGATTAGCACTGGGGCACCGGCAATGCTGCAGAGCACTCTCCCTGTCACAGAGACAAATACATCCTGATTTTTCAAATGTTCCCTACCTGATCTAAACAGATATCCCTTTGAATTCAGCGTGGATCACTTGTGCAGTTGCAGCATCCCATATGACTTACTGAAGTAAGGTCTGTTAAGCAGTGTGACTGAAAATCAGGTGTGATATTGTAGGAGAGGCTGTACTGGGAGCTGTGCAATTCCTGGTAGCTCCTCATTGTGCTCACAGGCACAGGGAGGAATAGCAGAATGGTTCTGTAGGTGTTGTTCTTATTTAGCTCATCCTCCACCTTTTCCTCTACAAACTGTAAGAGGGAAGATGAACTCAAAGGTAGCTCGGGCTGTACTTGGGCTGAATTGCCCTCTGGAAGCGCCTCTCTTTCTCAACTGAACATAAAGGGAGATTAGTATACACCTTTTATATGCCTTAATTAGGTGACCTGAATCTGAGCCACAGTTTGTAAATACATTGCCAGCTCAGAACATGAAATTCCCCACCCTCCCCTTACTATTGCCAGTGAAGTCAAACGTGAATGCAGTGATGTTGACAGACAAGAGCTTTGGTCAGCTTAGCTGATGTCACTCAGAGGTGTCATGTAGCTAGCTGGCAGAAAATGCCTTTGCTTGGCATATGTTATGGGGAGGGCTCTGACAGCCCTGCTGTCACAGCAAGGGCTTCTCCACAAATCCCAGGATACCTGGCTACAACCATGGGAGTGGCTCCTGCAGGTCCTCATTGCCACTTCACTCGGCACCCTGCGGCATGGACCCCTCTGTGGTATATGTAAGGAAGTTCCTGATATGTATGTGATAAATGCTGACTCACACCCCTACCTGACCTTTGCAAAGAAATTATGATAATAAATTGAGGGTTTCCACATTTGCCAGTCAAACATCTAATAACAATTACAGTGTATTCTGTACTGCTGTTTCTTATCACATCAATTAGAAGGGTGGTTCCCAAACTCCATTACAAAAGGCTGTGCCAGATGGTCTGTTCAGGCAACATATTAAACTGTAAAATCTAGATTGCCTTTGTGGTGCTTTCAGTTATAATTTGGATGGTAAGAGTGCATGATGATCCATATGAAATAATTTAAGTCCAGAGTGGACCCAAATGTTTGATAACCTCTGAGGTACAAGCTGACTTGTCATGGCTGTCGTTTGTCCTACTCTAGTTCTTTTGCCTGTTTTTCTTTTAAATTTCTCTCTTCATTTGTGGAAAATTGCTTGCCGGTGACCTAGCTCTAAAAGCCCCCCACAGACTCTGAAAAAGGGGAAAGGCAGAATGCTGGCACTGTGAAAGTAATTTGCTTCTATATGAGCATGTAACCTTATTATTATTGTTTCACTTGTCAGGCAAAACTATTTTTGTTATGTGTTACATCCCTTGACAGCTAATGTTTCCTTCCTCTCTGCTACTCTGAGGGAATTGTTAGAATCAATTAGATTTAGGTTGAAATCTCCCCAGAAGATATTCCAGTTGCCAATAGATAGACGAATGCACGGATAAAAAGTTATGTAGATGCATGACCATTCCAGGCAAAGCAAGTGTAGATTGTCTTAATACAGTGGTAGAGCAAAGATTGAAGCTCTTGCGCTGCATGCTTGTTTCAGCTGGACTACCACTAGTGATACTGGCATGAGGACTCCAGTATAAATTTAGAAGTAAAAACTCATGTCTACTTATTCTTCTATGTAGTGTCTCTTCTTGCAGTCAAAACAGAACCCATGAACAGCAGTGAAACAACAGCAACAACTGGAGATGGAGCGCTTGACACTTTTACTGGGTCAGGTAAAGCCATAATAAGATCATGTATTGTTAGATGCACATTAATATAGCATTTAATAACCTTCACTAATGAATATTTCACTGCATGGAAGCCATCTTTAAAAGAACACAATAAAGTAACATTTTAATACATAATAATAATAGCTTTTTAATTTTTGAAAATTAAAATCTACAGTTTTCATGAGCTATGATCTTAAAGAAGCTTTAATGATGCCTAAGACAATTACTGTATGCAAAAATCTTATAGTGTTATTATTGTACTGTAGATTTTTCTCAGTGTTAGTCTTGCACAATCTTAGGAAGAAAAAAACTGATTGCATTTGTAACAGCTATTCTAATTTGTAAAATTTGAAATCTTAAGGGTTATGTTTCAGTGCTAAACTTTTTATTCCTATGAGCAGTGTGTTAAACGCTGACCAGATTGCCATAAGCTACTTCCTTTTAATGAAAAAGAGTATATTTTACTTCAAATAATCATGTTTCAGTTACTTCTTATTAAAAAATTCAAACAAACAACAACTTTTAAGTAGATTCCTATAAACTATTAAAAGATGCTGAACTGTGGAAAAGTACAGATAATCTGGCTTCTAATCATTAAGATAAATCCTGATAACAATAATATTAACAAAGAGAGGGGGGAGAATAAATTTTGCATCTGAAAATACCAGTTCAGTGATGGCCTAGCTGAAATATCATTGAGATGTAAAGTAAGCATATACTATTTCTGACTAGAAAAAATAAAAACATTGTCCTCATTATGATTATACTGAAAGGAATACCATCAATGTAAAGCCTAGCAAGTTCCATAAAAAAATGAATAGTCTTGGCTAAAAAATAGCTTTCCTTTTTCACTCTGTTGTTACTCTATCCTTTTATTAGTAATGATTAGAGATTAGAAAATGTCCAACCATATATATGAGTTTGTCATTGTTGCTGAAATTTTATCAGCTTCTGCCATGGATTTAATACATCTGAGTTGGATTCCATGTGTAAAACATGGCTAAGCAACATTTGCCTGAAGGGGTACCAGAAATTTTAGCCTCTAGTTTGGATTTAGATGGTTAAGTAACAGCTTGATTTCCCCAGGTGCCGCTCACCCATTAACTTCCACTGACTTCAAAAGAAGTGTTGAGATCTCTACACTTGGAAGGTTTAGAAACAATCAGTGCCTCAAAAAAAAAAGACAGGAATTTGAGCTTTACACAATCATTTCTGTCTGTTAGCCACCTGCATACTCGAAAGAAATATTAACCTGAGTCTCAGTTTAGGCCACAAACTCAAATAGTAAATGAGTATGGTCATTCATAGTGGGAAACAAATAGTCTGCCTGACTGGGTGATGTGCAGTCTTCATCATCAGAGCAAGACACAGAGCTGCCTTTATAAAGCACTGAGCCTTTTGTAAAGAGTAAATCTGTTACTTTCACACTCGCCTTTTACTGGTACTTGCAAATAGGACAATTTGGATGTCTCAGTTATGTGGAAGGAGTGCTAAAGAACAATAAAAATTCACCAGAAAAGTATTTCTCTGACTTTCCAAGCTAACTGGTTATTTGGGAAGTTTAACAGGTTGCCAAAAACAATAAATACTGAGTAGTAGAAAAGATGTCATTTCAGACAAACCAGCTGCAGTTGAAAACAATGCATAATGAAGCCAAACACTGAACAGTTTGATTTTTGCTAATAATTAGTTACATACGTGTGTTACTCCAAACTATGACAAAGTGATAATGCTAGTACTTTCCTGCAGCTTTCAGAGCACCTGTGAGCTCATTTTGTGAGGATGCCTAGATATACAAGCAGGGATATCACCTGCTGTCTTATACAAGCATAGATCAGAAGGACTGAAGCATCCTTTGTTGAGTAGGGAAGGATTTAGTTATGTTATTAAATATTCTATGAAATGAGACACGAGTGAAAAGGGAGCTTCTGGTGCTGAGACACCTTTGAGAGTCTGCCATGCAGAAATCCTCTCCTTCAAATATTCTACCCATTAAAATTGATTTCCATGCTCCAAGGGCAATCAAAACCTGTGACATGTCCTGGAGTTGACCAGAAGGCTGAATAAATCCTCTGGGGTGTAAAGCAGCCAACTCTGTCCCTAATGACCAGCTGTAACACAGAAGGTGATGGTCAAACAGACTGTGCGAGGTATAGGGCAGGAGAGACATTAGGCTTCACAGGTAAATCTGCTAAACCCCAATTTTTGGTTGAAAAGTAAAGCACATAGATCTCTTGAGTTTAGAGTGACAGTTGCCACAGTGGCCTTGCCCCACCCATTGGGCAAGATCCTGCTCAGGGCTGCAGCTCATGTGTTGCATTTCACACTCAGGGCTCCAGTTCCTCTGTCCTGCAGAGCTGCCCCTGGGAGAAACTGTGCCTTCTAGCAAAGGATTAGGCAGGTGGAGAGTCATGTTGCACACCCCTCTTCCTCCTCCTTTTTCTTCAAAGAGTGACAGTAATTAATATCAGTATACTCAATTTGAAGCCTTGGGTCCAGACTCCCATTGGGGTGGGTATTCACAGGATGTGGAGAGCTGAACAGCCTTGAACTGAGCATTTTCATACTCTGTGAATTTGCTGCAGCTGCTGTACTGTCAGTGCATGCATTCTTGTGTTTATATTGCTTACAATACTGGATTAATTTGAGAACTGTTTATCATTTTAATGGAGCGGAGAAAGAGAGACGTTTGAAGTTCTCACCATCCTTTTAATTAGTATTTATTACACATAAAAAGGATATAGAAAACAATTTTTCTATAGCTACAAAGGCAAAGTTAGGAAACACCACTGCTGTATAACCTACGTTTGGTCCCCGTATGTGTAGACATTGTGATTTGTTATTTAAGTGAGATCCTTTTAACCTAAACTCTTTGCACATAATTTTCCAGATGCGTAATGAAAAAAATACAGAATTCCAGTCCGTGCTAATATACTGAACCCAACATATGCTGTCAGAACAGTTTATGGTCATTTAAACTCTCCACAGCCACCTTGGCCAGTTGAGCTAACAGGGTAACTGGTAGGAGGTGGCTGTCAGCTTCTTGTCCCCTGTCTATCAACATTAGTGGTGACTGGAATATGTCCTCAGTGCCACAGAGAGACTTTAGAAATCAAGGGCCTTATACCTGCCCTGAAGAGCATTCCTCTGGTAAATTCAAGCAGTGAAGTTGTAGAAATACTTGAATTTTTCAGAGAGGAAACAGTTTTGATTTTGTTTGTTTGTTTTTGTTTTTTTTTTTTTAATACAAGCAATGTAAAACACTCTTTATCTCCATTCATATAAACGTCTATATAAAGTAGCACCTTTATAAAAACAATAGCAACCTGCCTCTACCTTCTCCTCCATTGCCAACAGTCCTGAGAAGTAGGGTTGGGAGGCTATCTAGCAGTGAAAGTTGTTTGTTTGATAACCCTTAGAATTACCAATCTGATCTATGAGATACAGGGATAGTCCACAGGCTCTACTTAGTCATAATGTTCTCTTGTGGTAGGTCTTACACACTGTGTTTCTCAGATATCTCACAGTCTATAATGTAGTGCACAAATTGATGAGACAAGCTACAAGAGTGAAAGAAACAGACTTTGTAGGTTGAAAGCTTTGGGGGCGCTTGCCTCTTTCTCTCTCTCTTCCCTACAACTGGTAGCATCATGAGGGAAATTTAAAAGAAAAAAAAAAATTAAAACAAGATACATTCCAAAAGTATTTTACTTTCTTATCTGAAATTATAAAATAAGGTATATGCAGAAAGAATTAAAAAGCAGGCAGGACAGTTTTTTCTGAAAAACATTAGTGATTTAAGCGAACTAATTAATTTTTTGTAGTTTACATCAGATGTGCTGGAATGGTAAATGTGCTTTAACCAAACTGATTAATCAAGTGACCTGTCATCCAGCAAATGGTCAAAAAGTGGAGTAGTATGGGCAAAAAAGATCTGATAAGCGGATAACAGATCATGAAAGTTCCTTGCCTGAAAATCACCAAGGTCACACTGTTAGCTATTGCTTGTCTTCAGAAAGGTTGTAGGAATACAACAGGGAGGACTAATTACTCTTTAAGCCTTAAATAACTAAGAGTATCCTCTAGAGTTCTATGGACTGATTATGTTGATATGTACAGCTATAGGTTCATCTAACTCTAGAAATAGCTGTATGCACACTTAATGGATCACTCCGTGGATTGAATTTAAACCACAGAAAGGCATTCTCAGAAAAAAAAAAAAATCCACATATTCAGCAGATTTCCATCACAGACAAACCTTTAATATCTTTTCAAACAGCAACTCTTTTATGAAATCTGGTGGCACGTGTTCCAAAAATTATTATCCAATTCGTCTTTATTTTCAAGTTATACTCAACTGCACATTTAAAAAAAAGCTAATTGTTTTTCTTCTACTGTATTTTCCTTTTAAGTCCTACATGTTCTAAATGCATTTAAACTAGCTTTAAAGATATGAAGTTCTGCATATGTTCAAAGCAACAGATCTCAAAGACATTAATTAGCCTTGGATGTAGAAATATATCATGTTTCATAAAACAGTTAGAAAGCTAAACCTATTTGTCACTTATATAATTCTGAAAGTTCATTTCTACTACCACTACAAACAACTCAAGAAGAGGGTACACTTTGAAGTACAACTATGATTGATTAGACTAAAGAAATTCCAGTGCTTCGTTGTGTACTACTTTAATCTTTTGAAAAGTGAATGAACAGCAGATGGCCTAATAAAGACACTCTGTATGTTGCCCAGTATGGATTTGCTCTGAAGGGATTGGTTCGACACTTCAGAGTACATATATTTGGAATACATCTGTCTTCGTCAAGACAGATGGCTAAAGGAAAGAGAAACTTCCAAACACTTGGAATTAATCCAGAGTGAGCACCGCTTCTGAATGAAATTTTAATGGGATATGACTATCATTCTGTTAGGTTTCTTGGAAGAATGCATCTGTCAATAGTATAGACATACACAGTTTTGATGGCTCCCGGATAGGACTGCTTATGCTTACTTTTTAAATAAAATATTATCAGTGGATATGTTCTAATTGGCCTGTTGATAAGGAATATTCATTTTCTAGTACTCATTCTGGTATCTTCCATCACTTAACCTGACTAAAATTAACCACACCCATATATAATATATTTTTCCTATCCAGTATTAAAATTAAACTTGTTCATGTGAGACTTTAAATGTATGTGTGTGTTATTTCAATCACATGCAATACCATATGTTAAATCACAAGGTTCTTTTTAATTACCAATTTTAAAACAACTTACAAATTTGAAAGATCTGTGGTGTGCGGGTCATGGATGATGTATGAAATATATGCCTCTGCAATATACTCAGAAACATGTCAAGCTGAAAAAGCATGACACACCCATACCAACTAGAGAGTTCTGTATGATGATGAATGATTTGGGTGGGTTTTTTTTTTTTAATTTTTGTATTAAGATGTTGCAGTTCAGGTGACATCTGTGTTGTTGAAAAGCTGTCCATTTCAATAAGCTTCTCTGCTAATATTGCTGCGTTAGTATTCAGACTGTTTGTCTGTATTGGTCTCATGATGTTTCTAACTGCTGTACTCTTGTTTTCTGTTTTTCAGTAATAACAAGTAGTGGCTACAGCCCAAGATCAGCGCATCAGTACTCTCCACAGATATATCCCTCCAAGTTAGTGTCTGCACCTCTTCTAGTCTTTTGTAGGGAATTGACCTTGGCTGCAGGCAGTTCTGTGGTTTGTTGCAAACAAGTGTTCATCAGCAAAAGAAACAGGGAGAAAGCAAAATACTTAAGCCTCAGTACTGACTCCATTATAGCTCTTTCTCTGACTTCTTTTTCTCTGACGTGGCTGCAGAGTAAGATCCTGCTCTGTGCAATATTGCTGCACAAGATATACCCTCGAATATCTGCACACAGAAAGAAAAAAAATTGGACTATTACATTCTCAGACATCAGAATCTTAAAAGTGCTGACAATGTATACAGACATATTTTGAAGAAGACAGTTTATATTTAGAAATCACAATTGTGTGTGCAAGATGCGTACTGAGGGGTAACCCTGTCACAGACACTCCCAGTGACTACCCTGTCACAACATTCCACAGTCATGAACCACCTTTTCCTCCTCCTTCTCCAATATCATAAGATTTAAAAATCAAATAAATTGGATTAGAATTTAATCTCATTTTTTAATTTCTAAATCAATGGGCGTTGTTAGGAATAGAAAATTTATTTCTTTGTTTTTTTGAGGAAAACAGACTCCTGGGCAATCAAATGAATCCAGGAGTGGGAACTTCAGGAAAAAGCACCGAAGATGTTATATGAAACTGCTGCATTTGGCAGTCTATTGGTCCCACAACCAGTGCTGTGCACAAGGGTGCTTGATTTCAATCTGCCATCTATTTGTTTCCATATATTTGATATAGCTACCTGTGTGACTCTGATGCAGAGAAAACATTGAAACTGTAGCTGATTAGGCTTTTTCAAGTTTCTTTAACAAATTTGCATTCATATCATTGTAGCTATTATTTACTGATACAGAAAGTAGGTGCCTGAACTACAAAGAGCCCTCATTCGACTTAAAACAGGTTTTGGCAGAATGTATCATATACTTTTGGCCAAATATATTACAAAGTTTAATGTAATTTTTAATCTAATGTGATAATTTATTGGCATCTAAATTAATGAGTAAACCTTTTCTGATAGTAACTGCTGCCAACTGTATTGAACTAATTAGAAAGAAAAAATTAAAAAAATTAGAATCTGAAATTTAGTCATGGCTTTTAATGGCCAAGTTTCAGTTAGCATAATTCTACAGTGTTTATTCAGCTCTTGGTCCATAAAGTCTTATTTGACTTACAAAACAATCCAAGACAAATGTTTCTCTGTATGCTTTTGCAACTCTGGAGGGCAAAAATTTTAAACTTGATTTTATTCAATCTCCCTATAAAACCCCAGTATTCATAAATAAAAAACCATTTTTATTTCCATTCTACTTCCCTAGCCCATATTTTCCAAACGTTTAAAGCCTGTCTGGTTACCAAAATATTGCTGTCAGTATTTTTCATCCTGCTCTCAATGGGCGCGATCCATCTCTCATTTAAGCCAGAGGCTAGATGTCTATTGAAGCAGAACCATACACAGAGGACACAGTGTAGTAGCTTTAATGTTCACCTCTGTATTTCTTTTATTCTTCTAGTCCAATTTACCCTCCACTGGATTAAAAAAACATGGGGGCTTTTCTGATTTAAGCATGCTAAACTTGGCTGAAAGGTGTCAAGTCCATATGAAGCCATATAGCAGTGGCACAGTCCACCTAGAGCTGGACACAGTAGCTTGAAAACTGAATTGTAGTGATGGGACAGCACAAAACATTCACCCCGGGGAATGTGAGCCTGAGTGGTTTTCATCTTATTTCAGTGGGGGATGGAATAAATCCCAGAAGAGTAACAGTTGGCAGAATAATGAACTGCCTTTGGACATCTTTAAACCTTTTTTCTTTACTTTATTGCTTGAATCAACATACAAAGTATTTGTTGCCACAGTAATGCTATTTTTCCTAATATTTAGGCCCTATCCACACATTCTTTCTACACCAGCAGCTCAAACAATGTCTGCCTATGCCGGACAAACCCAGTATTCAGGAATGCAGCAACCAGCGGTCTATACAGCCTACTCACAGACAGGACAGCCCTACAGCTTGCCCACTTACGGTATTTGACCTCTTATTACTTCACCTTATGTAGAAGTAAGAGCAATGCTGATGTGAATAGTTTTTGCTTTTGTTGTGTGTTTGCTTTTTATTTTATTTTTCCAACTGTAAGAAAATATTTTAAAGAATCAGTTGAAAATTAATTTCTTATACAGATTTGGGTGTAATGTTGCCAGGCATCAAGACAGAAAGTGGGCTCTCGCAGACCCAATCACCACTGCAGAGCGGGTGCCTCAGTTACAGCCCAGGGTTTTCCACCCCACAGCCAGGCCAAACACCCTACTCTTATCAGATGCCAGGTGAGTAGCCACCGCCATCAGAGCTCATTCCATCATGTTGTTGCTGACGGCCCCCTCTTCCCTCATATTTGTGAAGTATTTTCCATTCATTTTTGTGAATTCCAGCAAATACGCTTATCATTGACAATACTTTTACCTGTAAAATTTAAAGCTAAGTATTTTTTTCCAGTATTTATACTCATATATGTATTCATTTTGGTCATCTGTTAATTTAGATATGCTCATGCACCTTCATTCTTTTATGGGGTGAAATCACATGGCAGGACACGAAGCATTTGTTGTATTTATTAGCCTACACAAGTCTCTTTTCCTTGTTTCCATGTTTCCGAGTATGACATCATTTGATACTTGCTTCTCTCTGGATTAACATATTTTGTTAGAATTTCTCCTTCATTCATATTTATTCTTTCATTTATTATTCGATTATTAATTCATTTATTACCCTTTGATCATTGATAAGCTGTTATATTTGGATAATTTTTAAGCTTATACAACAGTTAATCCTTTAAATATTATGAATTATAATATAAAAATCACCTGAATTATGTTGAAAACAAGGACATGCCTCATTGCAGATCGATTAAAAACACCTGGACTGCTGAAATATTGTTTGAAAAGTTTTTTTATTTCATAAGTGAACATACTCTAAAGTGTTAGAACTTAGAAATGAAGGCAAAAGAGAAAAACAATATTTGAGGAGAGGTGAGACACTGCAATAAATTGGAAAATGCTTTCTCAATCAGTGCAGTGACTTACTGCCAATACTTTCCTTGCATGATGTGAAGAGCAATGTATGCCTGTATGTGTGGAAGTAGCATTTCATTTCTTTTAAATTTTCGTTACAGTATTTCATAGTTCAAACAGAAAATAAAAGTTGTTTGTTCTTCCGTATCTGTATCTTAACATGGAATATTGTATTTAGAATTTTATTTTGATTCACGAGCAAGTTCTCACAGTTAATTGTATTTTTGAATTTTAGGTTCTAGTTTTACACCATCATCTACTATTTATGCAAACAATTCTGTTTCAAATTCTACAAACTTCAGTAGTTCACAACAGGTATGAATGTTAACATTTTTGTTTGTCAATTACAAAATGATTTCTATAACTCAAACGATAGCGTGTCATTTTAATTTAGATTTGTTATGTTGAATTAGATTCACTGTGATTCAATGCTGTTTTCTGTAGAAAGTGATCAAAATCCCATTGCCTCTTTTGGCCCTTAAATACTTTACCAACCTCCCTGTAGTCTTCTAGTAAATAGCCTTAATTTAAAAAATGTTATATATCCTTAAATTTAAAAAAAATCTAAACCCCCAAAACTCTTTTAAAAGTCATGTCATCACACACTTAGAAATACTTAATGGGAAAATCACTCATTACTTAATTAAGTATTCTGCTGCATTTGCTGTTCTAGGATTATCCATCATACACAGCTTTTGGCCAAAATCAGTATGCACAGTATTACTCAGCATCAACATATGGTGCATATATGACCTCAAACAACACGGCTGATGGCACTTCATCATCATCAACCTACCAGTTACAGGACTCTCTCCCTGGCCTGACTAGTCAACCAGGTACAGATCTACATTCAGGTGAAAACAATTTTTGTATTTTATTCTGTACTTCTATAAACACACGATTTTCATATCTACCTTGTTCGAATATTGACATTTTAAGTTCATGCCTTTCAAAAAACTTTATCAGGCAAACCAACCTAAAAGAGCTTGCTTTTTTTTTTTTCTTAATTAGGAAGCTTGTCTAGTTTGTTTGTTAGTTAAGTAAAGCTCTTTGCAGACTGAGATGGTTGTCTGTGGAAGGAGGAGGCCTGAAAAAAGCTACAGCCGTCTGGTGGGGATCTGTTAGGACTAAAACCAACCGTACAGTGATAAACCTTTAGAAAATTTTGAAATAAAAGTTCAGTGAGCTCTCCTATTACTGACAGAGGAACATTCCTGTATCTATCTACTTACATGTTCTGAAGTATTGCTGTAAAGAATTTAAAACAAAGTACGGTTATACATGGGCTTTATTCAAATGTATACAAGTCGTGCTGGCTAATTCAGGTAGCTGAGAATAGAGCAGTTGGTTATTAGCATAGGTCTCTCTTAAAAAGTCGTGTTGAAGTAGTTGAAGTTGCAGCATGAAGGTTCTCCGGAGACACGAGGAGATGCGATTTCCCTGCCCGACCCTGCCCCCTCGCGCGCAGCCACCACAGCACAGTGTCCTGCTGCACAGCACTGGCCTCGGGGCACCGCTGCTGGGTGATGGCAGCTCTTCATTTTTTCTCATTATCGTTATAACCCAGTTCACAGTCATTTACCTGCTTCATTCTACGTGTTCTATAAAAACAAATGTTAATATGGACTTATTTCCTTTTTTTTTGTTTTGGTTTTTTTTTGTTGTTTCATGCTGGATTTCTAAGTTCCTGAACATCTCACCAATGTGTTTTCTCCCATTTAATATAAGTGGGACTAAAGAAAAGAAAAGTTAAAACTGTGTATTTGGCATTATGCATAGTATACGGCAGAACTATGAAATTCTTGGTGGGCTAGTTTAGGAATTCCCAGTCACAGTCAGTGGAGTGTGGTATCCTTACTGGGTAAACAGAGCTTGCTTTTTCATGCTCACTTTCCTGTATTGTTTCTATTATACAGGAATTTCTTAAAGATGTAGCTCAGTGTTATGCCTACTAAAGCTGAGCGTGGCATCTATGGGAGAGACTATCAGCTGCCTGACTCCGCGATGCTAGACCAGTCTCTTCCAGGGACACTGTCTTCACTTGTGCAGAGTGGGTAGTGTCTGCCTTACCAACAGACTGCGAGCATTTTTAAAAAAGACTAGCAAACTGGGTTTTGAATTAGGCTTTGAATAGGGGGGAAATGAGCTTTAATCACAAAATTGACTTACTGCATAAATATTCCTGATTCTTATCCTACCAACTGCAACATCTCACTGAAAAGTATAGTAGAAAAATAATTTATTATAGTAATGAATTTGAACAAAGGAAGGGTAATGCTGTGTAGAAGAGTATAAGCAGGGCCTCATACTTCATATAAACTGCTTAAATTTACTAAAAACATTGGAATTTTAATGGCATGAGTTGAAATTTTTCCTTGCCAACTGTTTTCCTGAGGCTGGTGTTTAAAGCACGTTTGCGTGCACGCATGTGCACACTCATGTTTATGGTGTGGTATGGAATGGGTATGGGAAGATACACATTCCCTTGGTTTTTGGTGAAAGTAAAACATTATTCAGTAGTCTCAGAATGCAAATTTAGGAAGAAAAAGTTAAGAGAGAACTTGAAATCAAGGGAAATTTCAGCAGTTGTGGGACACCCATAAAAGACGCAAATCATCTGTATTTTTAAGAGTGTGAAGAGTACTCACAACTGATGTTTTGATAATTATGCATGTTCTGTGTACTTCTCTTTGTTTTTTTGTTGTTCCTCCATATTTTTGAGAAAATCAGTGTTTCCTGTATAGTCTGTCTCTTGTGTATCTGTGTTTCCTAGGAATGCTGTATAAATCTATCATGTATTAAAAACTCATTTAGTATTGAATAGCATTGACAAAAGAAAGAAATCTTACATAGCTTGAACAAGTTGAAAAAATATTGAAGACTTCAAATCTATGAAACAGTAAGGATTTTTCTAATTTATGGGTTGTTTAAGCATATGAACTTGTTTTTCTATTTAGGTTGTGCATGTGAATTTACAAATCTGCCCACACACTCCTTTTTTCTGTGAAGTGTTGCACTGATCATGCGACCCTCTGCTGAGAGTGCAACACCCACTTTGCAAATACGTGACATGCCTGTGCCCTTCTGTGTCACTGTAAAAATAAATCTCCATCCATGAGGTGCAGTGTCTTGGAAATCACTTCAGATACAGTAGATCATACTGCAGAGCTTTAGGACTCATCATGTTCACTTGCTGTCTTAACAGGCCTTTATTACTCAGCCCTTAAGACCAAAACCTAAGATTAAACAGAGCAAGGCACTTCACTCTTCCTCCATCTCTGTAGCTGTTAATTCAAATAACTAATCAAAGGCTCTAGTACTCTCCACACATAGAGGATTTCTTGTTTTCATAATAAAGCCCCATCAGATCAAGAGTTAATATCAGTTACAGTTTTATTTATTGACTGAGTAAAGAAAATGGGATGAAAATTGAAATAGACTTTACTCTTTCTGCTACTCATAACAAGCAATAACACATTACAAGCCAGGAAAAAAGGTTTGTAATGTTGAAGGCATCTTCTGGCTGCTCTTTCTGCTAAGAATATGTAACAAAAGTCAATCCATAAGGAGAGTATGGAGAGGTGCATAAGTTCATCCATCTGACATCTGTGTAAGGTTCAGCTCCTTACCCTTCCCATGGACTTCTCTTGCGTTTGTATTGTGCCTGCCCTACATTAAGATTTTTGGAAATGCATTTGTTACCACAGAGTATCTGTGAGACAAATAGGTATCTCCTGGGGCACTTCATCTCATATTGGGATAAGTCAGGAGAATCCTTAAGGGATTCTGCTTCAGGAGGTGAGTACATTTGAATATATTTGATGACTACGTAAGTACATTTAATCTAGGATGGATAAAATTCCAGCAGAAGAAATAGGTCTACAGGGAGCCTGGGTAAAGGTTTCATGTTTAGGCACATCACTTTCATATGTTCAGTGTTAGGCAAGGTGATTTCATAGAATATTAGCTACAACTCTGTTACTGGGGTGCAGCAGAGCTTGGTCTCTATTAATTTGGTACCTGAGCATGATGGAATGAGGGGCGGAGAATGTGCTGGGTTTGGCTGGGATAGAGTTAATCTTTTCACAGCAGCTGTTATGGGGCTATGTTTTGAGTTTCTGCTGTAAACAGCATTGATAACACAGGGATGTTTTCATTATTGCTGAGCAGTGTTTATGCAGAGTCAAGCCCTTTCCTGCTCCTCACCCCACCTCACCAGTGAGGAGGCTGGGGGTGCCCAAGGAGTTGGGAGGGGACACAGCTGGGACAGCTGACCCCAACCGACCAAAGGGATATTCCATACCGTATGGTGTCATGCTCAGCATATAAAACTGGGGGAAGAAGAAGGAAGATGGGGACATTTGAAGTGATGGCGTTTGTCTTCCCAAGTAACCGTTACGCATGATGGAGCCCTGCTTTACTGGGGATGGCTGAGCTGCTGCCGGCTGATGGGAAGTGGTGAATGAATTCCTTGTTTTGTTTTGCTTGACTGTATGGCTTTTGCTTTCCCTGTTAAACTGTCTTTATCTCAACCCACAAGTTTTCTCACTTTTACCCTTCTGATTGTCTCCCCCATTCCATGGTGGCTCATGGGGCTCAGTTGCGGCTGTATGGGGCTCAGTTGCCAGCTGGGGTTAAACCACGACAGTGAATTCACCCTTTGCCGCTTCTCCAGAAGATGGCATTATGAAAAACAGTGCAAAGGTCTATCTATATGCAGACTGTGCCCACACCTCTTTTCTCCTGGTTAAGTAGCACAACTGTGTTTTAACAGGGAGGAGTAGATATTCACATCAAACTGCAGATGGGAAACAGTGTTCTGGATATAAAAGTCCACCTCCTTTTTGAACAATGGTGCTGTAGCTCCCTGTCCTCTAACTGGAGCTGCTGCAAGGTCTCCATGGCACGAAAGGCTTCATGCTGGACATGAACCAGTGTATGTGTATGAACATCTGTGGGAAAGTGGTCATTCTGTGTTCTAGTTTTAACATTTTCCTCTTGTTTTATTGGATCTCTGATGCTGCTCATAGTTCCGGTGGGAGAAGGCTATGAAATGTATTTATTAGGCATGTATTGAATATTGGAAAAGCTCAAAAATTTCAAACACTACAATAAAAATTACTGTCTAATATGAGCTGCAGTAAGAACTCTTCATGAGGATAAGATTTTCAGTATGCTTTGGTGCTAGAAATTCTCACATTCTTTTATGTTATATGGCAGAATTTTTAATAAGTTTTCCTTTTATCAGCATTGACCTACTTTCTAAAACAAACAGAGAATAAGAAAATGCAGTTGCTCCTTTAGCCTGCTGTTGGTAAAAAGCAAATCAAGCAATTAAGCCTACAGTTGTTCAAAAAAACATGCACTACTGACTACTGCAGTTCTAAAATAGATGCATACCTTGCATTCAAGTAAGAGACAGCTGCTCATTCTGATTTAGAGATTAGTGTAATGAAATAAAGTTGGCTTTAAATATATAGAACTTACAAGGTACAGTGATTAGTTACAGTACTGATTAATGGATCATGTACAGTTGAACATGACAGTGCAATCATGTACAGTTTTGACCCAATCAGAAGCTTGGGGCAACTGGTACTAGCTAATGTTAAATGAAAATTGAAGTTATTTACTTCAGTTGTTAGATACTTTCAGAGAAGATTTAGAACAGAGGGTTTTTTTTGGTTTTTTTTTTTTTGCTTTTTTTTTTTTTTTGTAGATTAAATACAGTCATTGGGAACAGATGTTTTAGTACATTACTGTAGAAATGAGTCTTGATTTTATTGTAAAATGTTGAAATGTTATAAATATGAAGACTTGTGGTAAGAATGTAAACATCCATCTTCACTTATTTAATTTTTGTCTTTTCATTTCTTGGGGCTTTTTGGGGATATTTTTTCCACTCTGTCAGAAAAATCTAGGAAATTATATTTTCTTACAGAACTCTTGCATACTCAGAACTTTGAAGTCAGTGTAAGTTTTTGCCACATGAGGATTCTGGTTATGAAACATATTTTTGTACATTTGCACTCTTTCCAAAGTATGTTTTGCTGTTCTTCTTATGGAGAAAGAACTAAGATAATGTGACCTTATTGATCAGTCCACTGCCTGCAGTGTCCTTACTGACATCAACACCATGCTGGGAATAGAAATGATTAGTCAACAAGAACTCTCTCTCCATTCTGTAGGGACAAAGAAAAACCAGCATGGGAACATTATTCATTAGATACTATTATTGCTGCTCATTTCATAGCAAATAAGACTTTTGGCTGAAGAGAAGCTACTATAGAATGTATATGATCCTTATCCAAATCAGGACAGACCTACCTACCTAAAGTGATATCTGCAATAAATTGTCAAATTTCAGCTTTGAAAATCTCTTTTCAGCTGCTGCCTGAAAGTTTGTCTTTGTTCTGTACAAGCAGAGAAGCACATTGGTTTTGCAACGTTGAACTAGCATCACCTAGTCTAAGAAAAAAGTAGTAGCATCGTCTTCCAGGTGATAGCAGAATAATTTGTGTAATTCCCCAGAAGTGAGAGACACAGATTTGATTTCCTCCTGTTTCATGGAGGATTCATCACCTTTCACTTGAGGGTTCAGGGATGTAGATTCTTGGTCATGAAAATATGTCTTTATACTTCATATATCTGTCATTCAGTCAAATAAACTTGGAGAAGGCAGTGGAACCTAGATATGTCCTTCTTCAAGTAAATTACCTTATCAATAGGCTTGGGATCTTTGTTCTTGTTCTCCCCTTTCCTTGAATTTGGAATTCTTTCTTCACAATGTCTAGAGCTCCCATTCAGGAACGTGACATTACAAGCTTAAATCTTATTCTTCCAAGAAATACAACAGTATTTTTCCAGTCAAGATATACAAATATATCTTCCCAGTGTATTTATTTTAATAATCTTCTGTACGTGGTTCTCTGTAAGGTATAAATAAATTATAGAATAGATTAAGAAATTAACTATTGTGTTACATTATGCACAGGCCCTTAATTGAGACTGAAGTCTATTTTTTCTTCTTAGAACTTGCTAGACTAGAATTGTTTTCTTCTTTGTTGTGGGGGGAGAATGAAATGAATGATTCAGGGAAGATCACAGAAACATTCAGTCATTCACACTGGAAGCGTCCTCTGTAGGTCTTTTGGCCCAGCCCGCTCATGGATGAGCCAACTTAGATGATGTTGCTCAGGGCTGTGTCCAATCGAGTTTTGAGTCTTCAAGGATGGAGACTGCACAGCCTCTCTGGGGACCTGGCCCCTCTCACAGTGAAGGATTTTTATCTTGTATTCAACAGGAATCTCCCTTGCTGTGATTTCTGTCTGTCCTTGTCCTTTCTTGTCCTTTCTCTGTATACCTCTGTGAAAGGTCACTCAGACTTTCATCCTGTGTTGTCAGCCCCTTAACTATCTTGGTGGCCCTTACCTGGAGTAACTCCAGTTTCTCAATATCTGTCTTGTATTTGGGGACACAAAACTAGACATTTTTCCAGATAATGGTCTTGCAAGTCAAGAACAAAGTAGAAAAATCACTCTCCTTGATCTGCTGGCAACTTTCTCTGTTGCCTGGTGGACTTTGGTGACCTTAGTGATGCTCCTTTGTAAAAATTAATAATGTTCAGATTCCAGCTCAAAATCAGGTGCATCATAGATGATTCTTGGGAAATGTTTGTACCAAGTGTAAATTTATCCTGCAGATGTGTCATCATGAGCACTTTTAACAAACATTACCAAAGTGGCCCAGAAACACACAATTACATGCAGCACAAAGATTCCCTTGAATTAAACTCTGTAGTAGATGTCAGATATAAGCTGTACGCTTTTCTTCTTTAATGGAGAAAAATAAAATAGCTAATGGGATAGATGATGAAGGAGGATTTATGTCATTTAGCACTCGGGAACATAGCCAAACTGCATTTATTGCTAGCAGTTTTAAAAGGGCACAGAAGGTACTGTGTTATGAAGAAAAGGATATTTTCTGTTCACTACACTGTGTCATAAAAATACTTTGTAAGGGGAAGTTAGCTACTGGTTTGCGATCACGTCTAAAGCCCTTTGTTACCGGCAAAGTAGATTAATTGGGTAACTTAGGGATAGACCTGAGTGTTATGAGCAACTATGCCATGCCAGATCAAAGGTCCTTCTAGCACATATTCTCTCTGACAGTACCTGATACTTAGAGAAAGATGATCAGAATACAACAAGTATGACTTCACCCTCTTTCTGGTAGTAACTGGAATATTGCATTAAATATTATGACTTTCCTCTGCCAATTTATGGGCAGAGTTAAGGTGGGAGAAAAAAGTGAACTCTACTAAAGAGGAAGTGACATGGGAGGAGGAGATGAAGCGGGAAGCTGACTGGCTCTTCTGGTGTCTGGACATGGGCCAAAGGGTGTTCTGGTACAAAGAGCACCAGACTTGGAAATAAGTCTAGCTGAACTCCAAATGTGGGAAATGAACTACTTCAACTAAAAGACGCTTCATGTTTTGAAAAGTTATTCATGTGACTTCTAAAATACATCTTCCTTAGATCTATCAATATTTTGCATGCGCTCATGTGTATTTGTATATATGTCTGCACATGCATGTGTGTCATTTTAAATCTTTCTCTTATTCTGTCAAGGTTTATAATGTTTTCTTGATGAAGTCAAAAGTCTACGTGGCACCTGCTGATTTCACCTACATGAGACAAACCATGTTATCACTCATTTTATACAACTTGTGGGTGCATCTTGTGGTTGAGTCTGCATACAGACATGTCTAGCTATGAGAAAAAAAAAAAAAAGTTATTATTTAAAAATCCAGCACTAATTTTGCCATGAATGGTTGACTTCACAGGGGAGTTTGACACAGTGCAGAGCCCCTCCACGCCAATCAAAGATCTTGATGAGAGAACATGTAGGAGTTCTGGGTCAAAGTCTCGGGGTAGAGGGCGGAAGAATAATCCATCACCCCCTCCGGACAGTGACTTGGAGGTATGCCTGCGGTAATTGATGAATGGTAATGCGGAGGTTTCTTCTGATGAAAAGTAAATTCTGAAAAATACCTCTGCGGAAATAGCTTAAGGCATTTTAAAAAACATCATGGACTCAGTCTCACTAACTGAATATAACAGATACTAGTTGCTGTTTTAACATACCTGTACAAAGAAACATTTCTGGGTTTTTATGACAAAGTTAGGCAGAAAAGTAAATGTGATTCAGCCTTGCACTTTTTATCTCTTAAGTTTGCATTTCAGTTTCTCATGCAATAGAATCATAAAACTGTGAGAGTTCTGTATTCAAAATTGTCACCTTTTCTTTTAGTTTTTTGAATAGAAAATCTCAAATATATTGCTCAGCTTAATTACATGTATTTATGAATGCAGTGTAAATATTCAGGATCATCTGGCCATAATTCAAATACTTAGGCACAGGTTTGTCCTTGTGCTACCAAGTAATGCCAGTGGATTTCAGTGAGGCAGCTTACATCAGTGAAGTTATGCCTGTACTTAAGTATGTGCAAGATCAGTGCCTCAGTGAAGAAATACCCGCCTAATATATGGGGTGGCGATTTAAAACACAGGTGACCTCTTAGCAACGGAGTAATTATAGTCATATTGCTCTTGTTAGCAGTGCACAGCCTTAGAGTGACGGGAGGAGGAGGAGGAGGAAGTGGAGTGCCTGTGTTTGTGTGAAACACTCCAGCTCTTGCATCAGAGGAAGGTGCTACCTCTACTGGTGCGGAGTGTCCCCTCCTGCTACCAGACTGGCACTGGGAGCGAACAGCACTGGCCAGCCCCACTGCCAGCTTTGTGTACAGCAGAAGACAAGACTCTTGCTGGAACCTGGCTGGCCACACAGCCACTCCTGGGGTAGCAGGGTGGACTGCAGTCCTAGGCTATATGCCATTGCATTCATACAGAAACCTACAAATTTTTTGCTTTTGGAAGGATTTAACTTTTCCAGGGAAAAGACTCTAACATTTCAGTTTTCCTGTCTCTTTTATCGTTTACCAGTGAAAATGAACCCCTTGTCAATATAAGGAGTTCTTTCCTTTTTTTTTAACTGAGTTAGAATAATCCTACAATATTATTTCAGTTCTGTATGTCATTATATATGGCATATAGCACTTTTACCCAAGATTTAATTTTAGCTATACAGTAGAAATAAAGAACCTTGAATCAATAAGGCTTGCAGAGAAATATCTGAGAGTACTGTTTATCCTTAGGTTGACAATTATGTTTGACCCCCATCACATTTCTGAAATCTGTGTTATATAGCTTTTTTTAAAAGCTTTTCAGAAGACAAATAAGAAATGGTTGAAGAGTACAAAAGTTATTCTCCTAACTTTTTACCATGCATGATACACTGTTCTTGCTGATTTTCAGAGAAAACCAGCTAAGCGATTGGTTACATGTTAAGACTCAGCTGACTTTTAGCCCCACTGGGTGGGATGGTGATGGGACTTCGATGTTATTTGTTTAATAATATTATCCCCACTTCTATTTTCAGCGTGTATTTGTTTGGGATTTGGATGAAACAATCATAGTTTTTCATTCACTGCTTACAGGATCCTACGCACAGAAGTATGGCAAGGTATGTGAGTCATGAATTCTGCCTTGATTCACTGTATCAGAGTTATCTGGCCTGCGCATATACGTGTTTTTCACCTTCTGTGTTCATTGTGGCTTGAGTGAAGTTAGAGGGAAAGTGTACAGTAAACCCCGTTTTAAGAGGGTTAATGTGAAAAAGTCAAGGTGAGAAATGAGACACAGACCCTAAGCACAATATATGAGCCAGGAAGCAGATGGTGCAAATGAGCAAAGAGTTTATAGAGGAACAAGGATGAGGTTCCTGAGGTACATTGGAAGAGACATTGTGGTGAGGTAACAGATGTAGTGGGCAAATGGAAATAACTGACAGTATCTGGATGCATAAAGGAAAAAATAAGAAATAAACTGGAGCAACGGGTGAATTTACAGGGAAATTGATGGATCAGGATGAGTAAGTAAGAGGCTGACCTGTTTCAGTGCCAGATGCAGATGTTATTTGACTCCTCAGCTTTTCCGTTGAATCTTTGGTTTCCTTGGCTGGCTCTGGGGTGAGTAATGCCAAGGAGTGAATCCCTCTCCCAGGCTGACAGTTGTACTCATCCTCTCCCCTCTGATAAGATCCAACAGGAGTTTAGGTCACGGAACAGTGAGGAGGAGAGCAGGAGGAAGAGCGAAGGAGGCAGACAGGCAGTCACAGCCTGCAGGAGCAGGAGCTCCCCTGATGAGTCAGCAGCAAGCCCCACTGGGGTGGTAGTGGGTACCCAAGGAACGGTGCTCAGTCAAGGGGAGGAGGGACTGGTGGGAAGACCAGTGCATAGCAGCAGGAGCGGACTGCTGGGAGGGGTAGAGCTAAAGGCCTGGATGAAACGAAAAATTAGGGCAAATGTATGGAAGGGAAGAAAATGGACAGGAAGAATGTTGGTATGTACATACGTGGATGTAGGCTTTCTATGTGTGCTATTCGAGTGTAACTTATACAAATGTATTCCTTTTTAAGAACATAACTGTGTCCATGCTATGTCAGACGAAGGGCTGGTTTAGCATAAGTTTCCTGCCTCTTTATTTCAGCCAGAATCAGATGCTCAAGAAAAGGGTGTGAGAAGCAGTACATCAGAGAAATGCTTTCCACACCCACCGCTCCAGCCAGTGGGTTAGAAATGTCCAAAGAACCTGTGGATTATAACCACAGATGGATCAGCTCTCCATGTTTTGAGACAGCTGTTTGTGGTTATTAAAAGAGAAAGCTAACAGGAAAACTCACAGGCCCAAACAAAAATCTGCATTTTTGGAATGCTAAGATAAGGGTAGTTATTCATGTCTTGTAAAAAACAGCCCTGCTTGTTTTGCAGCTTCACAGTGCCAAATCACTGCACATTTCAGTACTCTGTCAAAACTCCTGTTCTGCTGTTTTTCAAACACTGTAACAACAGTGACTTTGTCAGAACCATTTCTAACTTACAGTTATCAAGAAACCTAGCTGAACATGAACATTTATATGACTTCTGAGTGTAGCCCATATACTGCCACAGAACTTGCTGAATTGCCCCAGTGAGGCAGTCATTCCTTTCATCCTTTTTTGATTGTGTGTGCCCTTAGGATGTTTACATCTCCTGCACCATCTCATATAATATATGTCTAAAGTCTAAGCCAACTTCAATACAAAATGTAAAAATCAGAGCACATTTTGTAGCTCACAAACTTCTATGGATAACTTTGAAAACTTAAGAGACAGAAAGAGAAATTAATTCCTCCTGTTTTCTCACTTCGTTATGAGTAGGAATATTTTAAAAAATCCCAGTACCACTGTTCTTAAAGAATCCATACAGAGACCTTAGAAACAGTAATGGCATATTAACAGCCAGTAGTACTGACAGCAGATAAAGTTAGCTTGTATAAAACAATAGTATTTCAAGGGCAAGTGAAATTAATGTAGTTATGGTGCTGAGATCAGCATCAGTAAACAAGTGTCACAAACAGCCATGAAGCAAAAGGAGAGGGATTCTTAAGTATAACCCTTCGGGTTTGGGGTTTTTTTTGTACTGATAGGTGGCATCCATACAAGTAGGGAAATGTGTTCATTTCCAGTGACTGTAAAATAAAAGTAGTAGACTTTTTCCTTCCTGCAGTGACCACCTTTGCCATATTTATAGAGAACTCATTGGGAAGGTAATTGCCAATGGAACTCAATGAAACTCAAATATATATATTGCTGACTGCAAGGAGGCTAGAGCAGCAGGAAAAGGAATACAGGGAGAGTTTATCATGAGTAAGCTTTAACTTTTGCATGTCATTAAGTGCTGCCTAAACTTAAGATGGGATGTGTCTGAGCCTAAGTGCCTAAGGGAGAGAAGGGAAAGATAGCACAGCTAGACCTCAGCCAGTCTCTGGTACATGACCTCTTTAGTAGATGTGGCCCTTTCTTTTCTGAGTATGATTTCCATCTATAACAAGTTCTTAATCCAGACTGAAGTCTGGATTGTTACAAGAACTGGTTTGATGTGAGAGTAAATACTCCATGAATTGTGAGATTCTGAGTGGAAGTATTGTGAGCACACAGGTCTTTCAGAAGTGTTGAGAGCTGTTTATCCTTGAGAAGTGCTATAAAACTGTTACTTCCCAGTGGAAAAAAAAAATAATCAGGGTAATATAAAATAATGGTCCTACTAAATTATTTAATTGTGGTGATTTGCTATCAGATTTTTAAAAAATAGAGGTGTGTAATGTTATACAGATGCTCTGCTGTGCCTTCCTTATGTATTTTGTGAGCCCATTTTTTATAATATAATCAGGTTACTTCAAAAGAAGAAACCACACCCCAAAAAATCACAGGAAAAGTTTTCCCCTTCCCCTGTATTTAAATATTCTAAATGAGATTAGTGAGTGTTTAATGTGAACACTGCTTTAAGGGAAGGCATCTTCTTATACCAAATGTGATCGCTTCATACTTTCAAGGGGTGACATGCTGGGTGTAGAGCTAGTGTGAATATACAGACAGGCAAAGATATTCACCTTCATTTCTTTCCCATCTACTCTTTGACACGTAAACTTTCATTCCCCTTTCTCACTAGCTCTTTACCCTATTTCTTGCAGTAACAGGACAAAACCAAAACATTCAGAAATTAGTCTTCTAGTCTCTCTGCTTTGCTGCAATTCAGTCTGTGCAGGGAATGCAGTGAGGGGAGGTACAGCATGTGGAGGTGGCCATCACGCTGTTATGGCCAGGCAGAGGGAGAAATGTGTAAGTGCAAGAGTGCTTGAGACAAACTGGGAGACAAACAGTTTCTCTTTCGAAAGATTTCTACAGTTTAACAAGTGTCTGGAGTAGAAGAGGAAAAGGAAAGACAAACCAACACCCCATAGGCAACAAGGGCATTCATTGGCAGAGATTGTGTGGGAAGGCCTGGATCCAGTAGGCAAGTTTCAGGTCATAACATTTGTCAAGAGGACAACAGATTTCTGACTTATGCCTGAGGATTTCTGAAGTTGAGAATGGACAGTCTCATTAGTATATACTCATCCAGCACTTTACATGTTATAATTATTCAATTTCAGAATCATATAGGGCTGTTGCAATAATCATGTTAAAATCAAAACTAGTCATTTGCTGAAAGATTTAATTTGTTGGATGCAGCTGTAATCATCTCATTTAAGACACAGGGCAAATTGCTCCTTCTTATCTGGGCACCAGTAGAGTATGGCTTTATACTCCACCAACGGGAGAGATTTGGCCAGAGGTTAGTCAGGGCATCACTTTGATATTTAAATTATAAAACTTAGCCAGAGGAATATTCTGCAGCTTTCTGTTTTCTACCTGTGGGTGTTTCTGTCTGACTTTTGGTGTAATGGTTATTTTATTGGGCTGGTCAAAGCTAACATAAAAAGAGAATAAAAACTGCACTACACCACTGTTAGGTTTTAGGGAAACTGTGCTGCCTCCCAGCAGTAAGGGTACCTCTCATCATTCAGCTTTTGCTCATCTGCTTCATACTTCATAAAACTAGTACATTTATATTTTTAATTATTTACTGCAGTAGCAAATTATGAACATTGGCGTTTGAGCTGTTACATTATGACTTGTGTGGCTGATGATGTTTTTTGCAGCTGAGCACCAGTTGGCAGATACAGTTTTCTACAGTGCTGAGCTCTTAAGTGAGGATTTGTTGATGTGACAGGACATGTGTTAGGAGATGTCATCATCTGTTAAAAGTCTATGAGGTACATTCTTATACCCTGTGAACAGTGTATATTCTTTGTTCCATTGCGTTCCAGTTATTCTTGCTCATCTAAGGCTGATTAAACTGAAGTTTAGTCTACCTCTGAGCATTTCCATTTCATTCATTTCTCCCAGGTCAATCCAGAGGGCAAAGATGCCCAGATAAATGCAGTGACTCAAGGTGCAACTGGTTAAAAAAAAGTCCCTTGTGACCTTAGAAGGGGGGAATGTGATTTTAAAGTGCAAAATCCACAACTGATGGTCACACTTGGACATTTTTAACAGCATTGCCAATGACAGAAAATTGCTGGGGAGGCCACATTAACCCTGCACACTCTGAAAAGGGCTCAGAAGCTTTTTTATTGCTCACTCTCTGCTTGTCCAGTCATTAAACAGAAGAACTTTGTCACCATCAGCACCCATGATGACATTCCCAAATTCACTCCTAAATATGCTTTTGACTGCCTGTATTAATAGTTTATCTCTCATGACCTCCAGTTGTCCTCTCCACTCACTCCCTCATTGGCTGAGACCTGAGTCCATTTTCCTACCTCCTTCTAGAGAGTGTGGAACAGAAGCTTCATATGGAGTATGTGTTTTCCTTCATCAGCCACCAGATATAGTTATTAAGAAGAGACGTATTCTCTTCCTCCATTGCCATCCACATGAAGGTCTCCCAGGAACAAGTGTTCCCTGTGAGAGAGTGAAAGCTGAACTTAAATCTGAGATTCCTACACAATGTAGGGAAGTGTCTTTAAGCTAAAAATATTGGTATTTAAGCATTTCTACTTTTTCCAGGGGTAAATTTTATTGTGAGTCTGTTCAGGACAGCCATTGAAAATCTATTTTTATCATATCATTAATACATTTTGCTTGTTTTCTTGCTTACTTTTAAGGCTTCATGCATACAAATTCTTGGCACAATGAATCTACCTGACAGTCTATTTATCTGTTTGTTTTCAGAGGTTTTATAAAAACCAGTTTAGTGTATTTGTAATTTTTTTTTTCCCCAGAAATTAATTATTTTGAGCATCTTGTGCCTGACCTTTCAAGACAATATTGAATAGATTTCTTCTACTAATGGACACTGAGCTGTTGGGGCTTTATTCCAGTCACTTTCTTTTTGGTCAGAATATTTAAATATTGGTCCTTCCAGGATATTTTTACCTAGTCTCCCAGGAGGCATTTCAGTGGATGGACCAGTCTAGTGCAGAAGTCCACAGACAGACAGTCTGGCTCCAGTTTAGTGCCTTCATACTAACATAACTAAAGTCATTTGTATTTTGGTATACAGAAGTGCTGTAGCTGGTCTTGATTCTTTTGCACACTAATGATAATCTGGCTAAAATCATGCCTCTGAGGGCCAAAGAGTTGTCCTTTATTCTGCAAATTATCTGGAGAAACCTTCCAGATTTTACTTTATTATTGTTTTCTCTTTTGTGTATGCTTGTGCAGAGTAGCACAAAATACCACTTTGGCAGAAGTTCAGTCTGCCTCTTATTCAGTTTCTCAATTTGCTGTGCTCAAATCTGTATCAGATGCACATGTTTCTTACTTTCTTTTCAACACTCAGTTCTTTGTGCCACTGGAGCCAGTCTGCAACTTCTGCTTCAAGTTGAAAGACAGTAAAATGATGATTGGGATGTTCCTCCACATTGTGCAAATGTTAGAAAGCCACAAAACCCTGACAAATCTTCTTTCTTTGTCTATTTTTGTATGTGAAGGAATGAACTTAACATGGCAAGAGCTAGAACATGATGTTTAATTCTTGTTAAACAGTTGCAGTGTAAGTTTTGGCCAATTTATTTAAAGAAGAATTGTTCATGTCTGAGAATTCAATTACAGTGACTCTTCTTAGCAGAAGTTGTTACGGGGAGATTCCAGACTGATTTCATGCTAACTTGAAATTATTTTTTTTTGCTTTATTTTACTTTACATATAGTACCTAGCAATATCCTATGCCTGCCTTTGTCAAAACAGCAACATAGGAAATCTCATTTTTAACAGTAATAAAGTCAGGCATAGTTGGTTACAAAAATACTACTAATAAGAAAATCATAAAAGCTTTGTCACATTTACGTCTTTCAACTATGCAAGGCAAGGCAGGAAATTGTGATACATAGTTGGTAGTTTCTGTAAAAATAAATTGGATTATAATGGAATATGTTATAGCAGATTTCCACATTTAAGTCTGCTACTACCCAGGAAGGGAAGAAAAGAGACTGAGAATCAAAAGTCTGAGATTCCAGTCTTGGAAGCACTCCAGTGAATAACTTAACTCACATAAATAATAATGAGGTACCACCTGTGCATAAAGTTATGCACATTCCTTAGTGTTTGTAGGATTGAGGTAAAGAAGCATATTGCAAATACTCTTTATTATACTGTATCTAGGAAGAAAAATTTATCATTTACTGTGCATGGAAAAAAACTCAAGAGAAAGGAGAGAGAAACACATGTTTATATGTGATGACATTTTGATAAAAGCGTTATGGCTTGATGAGGAATCTCATGAGTCCAGAGTATTCTGATGATTTTTGTTCTAAGTATCTTACATGAGTTTTTGTAAATCTGTTAGCCTATGTTCCTTAATCATCCCATTGGAAAACTGACCTTTACACTTGCTGCTGCCTTCAGACACATTATTTTCAGATCCAGTAAACACAACTGTGGAAGATGTAGGGAATGAAGTTATGTTACTAGACACTGCGTTCGGTTTTTACTTCTGAAATGTAGTCTAGACCAGTTCAAGGGTCAACATAAAAATATTTCCTTTCACTGCCAGAGAATGGGGTCTAACTTCGGATCATTACAATTTCTTGTACACTGTTCTCCTCTTCATGTCAGACTTTTTCATGAGCAAGGGTCAAAATATGTCTATGTTTCAGATTTTACCATTAGTTTTTAAGTGCTTGAGGGAAGAAGCCATCTTTTATTCTGTCACTGCGAAGCCCTGGAGTAGCAGATGTCTGATCCTGATTGGGAAGCCTTTGATCCTAATACTAACAAATGATCATTTGAGGTTTTGTGTGATTTTATTGCCAGATGCTGGTAAACTTTTAGACTTTTAATCTCCAGGTATTTAAGAAGGGATTTCTGAAAACTTGCTAGTGTCAATCAGAGTTTAAATGATGAAATATAGATTATTTTTTTTCTTATTTTAATGAGAAGAGTATGACATCTATTTTAAAAGCCTATTGTGATACATTAAATATTAAAAAGTTAACTAAGCCCCACAAGCTCAAGCAGATGATTAAGGTAATGATAAAACTAACTACCAGGTGTCAGCCAAGCATCAACAACTGTCTGTGTGCATTCTTATTCTAAAACAAATGTAAGGTAATGCAAATTTTCTTAAACTTTCCTAGCAAACCTAGCAAAGTTAAATTATCTCACATTTACTGTACAATAAATGCTCTCAAACTGATACTGCAGATCAGTAGCTTTGTGGTATCTTGCTGAGGTAGAGTGATTTGATACTGTGAGAGCTGACCTACAAAAAAATGCAACATTTTGAATGAATCTCATCCAGGGACAGGAATCCCAAACTTCATCAGAAATGAAGGGATGATCTGTAGCAAACAAACAAACTTGCATAGGCCTTCCCACTCCTGTGGACCACCTAAAGAATTGTGCCATAGACTGTAGGCACCCTGAACAACACTTAGAAGAACATTTACAGGCACTTTCTTGAATAAATATCTGCAGTAAAATCATAAAGTAGAACCCAGAAATTCATCAGTGAGTGCCTGCATGGAAGAAGGGTAAATATTGAGACCGGGAAGGACCAAGTGCAGGCTTTGAAAGTACACCCTGGAGCAGCAGAAAGTGTGAGAAAGAAGTGATATAGGCGTAAGCACAGGCCCCAGGCAGTGATGATTTATCCAAAGTGAAACCCAATTTGGGGAAATAGGCATAGATTCTGACTACCTGTTGTATTTTTGTGAAGCAGAGACATTAGAAACTGAAAAGGCCTCTTAAATCACACCTTCCTATCACAGAGTAGGCTAATTGCTTACAAAGTAACCATGTAGTAGAGATGACTACCTTTCCTAGTCCAGTTTAGCATGACCTTGGTGAGGACTTCTGTGTGCCCAGAAATTGGGAAAAAAAGCCAAGAGGTCAGAGGAATTGTGCAGTGGACTGGGTGTTACATAAAGTAACTTTGTTCCTACCTCTGCTGCTCACTCAGTACATTGGGTCAGAAAAACTAGTTACTGCTCCATGGCTTAGCTTTTTTTCTGCCCACAAATTGGCAGGCAAGATACTTTTATATTGGTTTTCTTACATTGTGAGAAGTTTCTTTCCTGTTTACAGCTTTCTTTATGCAGGTTTACATAAGTCCACCAGGTTTTCCCCTGTCAGTTTAGCCAGGTTGCACATGCCTTGACTTTCAAAAAACTCAATATTTCAACATCCCCAGTTCCCCAGATGTTCTCACACAAGTCCATCAGTCTCTTCTTTGAGTTTATATTAAAATCGCTTAATATTGAAAGGATTTTAGAGAAATTTCTTGCAGTGTTAATTTTTCAAAAGACTTTGCATACAGCAGTTTCAAAGTAATTCTGATATAACTTAAAGGTATTTAAACAGTAACTTTGCTTTCTGTTTTTTAAGGATCCACCAATGGCAGTGACCCTTGGACTGCGAATGGAAGAAATGATTTTTAATCTTGCTGACACACATTTATTTTTTAATGATTTAGAGGTAAGAATCAAAGGAACATAAACACAGTTATTCCTGGGTTTTTAACACAGTGGTTTTGTTGTGCATTAGCGTTTGTTGCGTGTGACATTCTCTGCCTGTCTAGAATTTGGGTTTGTCAGACTCTAATCAGAGAGAGGTGAGCCAGGTGGGAGTGACTTCCCGTCGCACCAGAGTCCTTCCATGAAACTGGGTGAGAGATGGAATCTGCAAACTACTCTTTCCTCTCTTGGTCCTATGGCCATCTTTTCGGTTTCATGGGTTTAGACCTGTCTGCAGTCAATTCCACGAGGGGGACATACGTGCCTCCCATTCTTTCTCTTGAAGTTCTCTACATTTGCTTTTAGTGGGTGACATCATCTGACCCCAAGAGGCTGTTCTTCTCTTCCCATACCTGAGTAGCCTTTTGGCCTCAGACTCCCCATTCTCGCTCAAAGGCAGAATATTCTTCATTTACCTCATAAACTGAAGCATCAGAGAGCTTGGGCTATGATAGATGTACTCATCAGTGATGTCTTTTCCTGAGGTAACCAGGTGACCTCATGTTTTGTCACCATGTACCGAGGATGTGCAATTTGTCATCCTGTCAGAAAAGGGAGAGGCTTCATCCTATAGAGTGGCTGCTGTGAACCACTCACCTGTCAGAAGCACACAGATGGACTGCCACAAGAACAGCAGTCTGGGAAACAGGCTCTTCAGCTGGGCTTCATGGACTTTACGTTTCACTCCAGGAGTCTGAACCTGTTAATGTGAAAAGTGACAGTCTTACAACCGTGTATGTCAAGAGTCAGGGTGAAAAGCAGTTCTCAAACTCTGGACTTTTCAGACCTTTTCCTGGTCTAAATTACTAATTTTCTTACTCGGAGTGGATCCCAGAGTTCTCTCCATGGACAGATATTTTGCCACTAATGGCAGTTGGAAGACTGAGGTTTTGTTTAAAATGCCAGAAAAAGGTCTCTGCTGAGTGAATAGAAAAAAAAATAAGGTAAGTGAGATTTTTTCCATTCACTGGGACATTGATTTTTCTAGTGTACACTTCTTTTGTTCCTTTGTCAACTGTAGGCAATAAGAAAAGCAGAAGGTACCAGGCTACGGTTGTCTTTGTCATACTTTGCAGACTTCATTTATTCTTAGCACTTTTTAAGTCAAGAAACTGATATCTACTACACCCTCTACCTGAGCTGCACTTCCTCCTACCAGCAGCAGAAATGTAAGAAAATAAAGCCCTGGACATGCCTTCGCCAGTCGGTGTTTTATTGCAGTCCTAGTGAGTAATCACTTGACAATGCAAGTGCATTCGGTGAATGTTGTTCTGCTGGCCCATACCAGGGATAGATTCCAAACCAATTTTTCAAAGCATTGCTTAAATTTCTTTTTAGCAGACCTTTGCCCCAGCATGTTCAGATTTCACGTGACACCCAATGAACTTTAAGCTGTTCGGTAGCATATGCCCAGAGTTCTTCGATCTTGTGCTGAGTTCAAGTGGAAGAGTTCATCAAAATGGAGCTTTGCCCTCTTTCCATACCTCTTTATTCTTGCTTATAGTCATTGAAGCTTCATTCCTTTCTCTCATTATTTATTTTCTTTGTAGATCTCACGTTCAGCTGTCATAGGTGAATTGTCTCATTTTGTATATTCTTCATAGGGTGGTTTTAATATCCTGTCCAAATATTCATACTCCATCTCATTCTGGAAGAGTTATCCAAACAGTTTTCAGTTTTAGATAAATCAAAACCTACTACCTGGGGACTCTCTTGGAGAATCTCATTAAAATTAAAACCAATTTCTATATGCAATTATGTATTCTGTAGTCTAGAATTCATCTTTGTTTCAAAACCAACTCTCTTATAAGGTTACCAAAATTCCAAACTTCTTGTTCTGAAATGAGCTGTATGCACATATTCTGGCATATGCAAGAAGACCAACAATCTTCTGTCTTAGCAAATAAGATGTAATTGCATGTCATTCTGTGCCAAAGTATATAGAGGCATCCTTTAATATGCAGATGAATAAATCTGTCTGTTTAAATATGTTTGCAGAACACATGGCCATTACGGAATATTACAGTGCATCTGCATGATGAATGTGTAATGAATTCTGAGAATTCCCCAGTTTTGACTTGGGGTCTCTCTCTCTCATCTCTCCCCCTCTCTCCATGTCTATTTCTCTGTCTTCCTCTCTCCATCCTTCCCAGGAGAGGGGAGGTGAGTGCTGAGCTGTTGATTGTCATGGCCATCAAGACACAAGATCTTCAGTTCTTACTGGAGGAAATGAGATAAGGCATTTATTCAATAGGCAGATTACTTATCCTTTCATCATCTCACTTTTTTAATGCTGAGCCATCAGGTCCCATACATTCTGTCTTGCTTTCATCTTCATCCTACAGTAAAGCTCATGGCTCCAGACATGGCAATTGTAATGTACTAAAAAAACTATATTCCTGTAATACTGACTCCAGTCACTACATCCTCTATGCTCTCTTTTTTCCGTCCTTCTTGGTTGCAAACACCGCATACCAGGGTCTAGTAATAATAACCAAGTTATTGAAAGTTATCACATTCAAAAATAAAGTTTTCCTTCCTCTATGCAAATCTGTCTCACTACAGTGACTGCTGATGCAGAAATTCCGATCTGCTGAGACATTCCCCGCTGACCCAGTAACCCATGTTCTAATCAGCCAAGCTGCACTTTTATTTCAGGCTAGGCTGTTCTCCAGCTATTTCATTCTCAGTGTATAAATTTTAGTTAGCTTGAGAAGTATCGCTTGGGAGGGCAGTTGGTGTTTTGCCATGAAAATAGGAGTCTGGTGCTCTAGAAAGTTCATGTGCCTGAGCAATGCTTAGACATGGGACACAGTTCTGTAATAATGTCCAGACTAATGTATTCTGTTCTCAAACAGGTAAGAAATAAATAGATGTTTTTCTCCCTATCTCAGTATTAAGACCGCTTTTAGAAATGTTGGTAGCGCATACTATGCACACAAAACACCTAATTTCCACAAATTGCAAGCAGGAATTTGGACATGAAACTTCCAACTCCATTATCTCCTGCCACTCTCAGAATGATGAAGAAAAAAAGAATATTTTAAACAAACTGAATTGCATTTCCATTTTTATGATAATCCAACATAATTTAAATTAGATTTTTTTTTTTTCCTCTCATTAGAAATAGCAATGAGAAATAAAAAATAGGATTTAGGTAAGTCTCCAAATTTGAGAGGCAGGTCAAAATAGTTTTAACAGAGGCTGAAGCATATGCAGAGAAAGGGGTGTTCTGTATAGCCTGAGAAAGCATTGTGCTGAATATCTCCTCAGTAAAAACATTTTTGTGTTCAGTGTGGTGAGTCAGTGTTTTTACTGGATAATGAAATTACTGTCCATTCCAGGAAGAAAATTTTTTGGATGATTTGTTGATTCTGTACTCTCAAATTTTCAGGCTCTAAAAATTGCTGCAAAGAATTGACTGCACTCAGATACAATTTAAATCAGTATTTCTTGAAGCAAAAGCCAGTTACTGTACCTAGATTCCTTTCCTTTACTCTCTGTAATAGGAAATATATTTTATCTTTCTTAGTTTTGAACCTGTACTGACAATCAGCCACTGTGACTTGAGTGTAGCCAGTAGTATGGCTGATGTGAAAAATACTTTATATTAACATTTAAAGTGATAGAGAGTTTTGTTTCTTCCCTTCCTCACTGCAACTGTTTGGTACGTTTTCCAAGCAAATTCAGATGTAGTGTTGTGCCATCTATCTCCTGTTTCTTTTGGGAAAAGTAGAGAACTATCTCAAATCTGCTCAAAACATCTGCTTTTTCTTTTTTTCAAGAAAGTTTTTTCACACCATGTAAGTGAATTTATAAAATATAAACATTTTAGTTGAACTAGATTAGTAAATGAGAAAACAAAAGAAGGCAAGGAATGGTGGGCACATGGGTTTGTTATTGGTCAGCAAATGTGTATTGCTAGTATGTTGAGGAGCTGAGCCATAGATCTGAGAGGAGAAGAAGAAGGGGGAAAAGAGGAAGCTGGAAAGTGCTGTTGGGTTTGATCCCCTTATAAACTTAACATCATTCTTGCAGGGACAAAGGGCAAGTAATCAGAAAACTTCATGTTCCCCTCATCTCCTGTTCCTGGAGTCAATGAACAAACTGTGAGATAAAAAAATAAAAGCAAACAGTGGAGCCTTTGCCACCCACTCATATTTAACTTAGTAATGAAATTAGCAGCAGAATAGTTATCTGGAATTTTCAAGGCTGGAACAATGTAGCTGAAGGGCTTAACAAAACCCAAAGAGCAGCAGACAGTTCATATCTAAGAGGCCTTCTGTGTGCCCTTCATTTTTATTAGTACACCTTCAAATCCACAGGACTGACTTTTAAACTTTTAAAATTCTCTTATGCTTTGACCAGTTCCAGGGAAATCTGTGAAGATGATTAGGAAGCTAGATATTGCTCAGATATTGCAAAATACAGACTTAGAATTTATCCCAGTGGGGCTTTTTGTCTGATTTTTTGAGTTCCTGTCCTATATTGGGTGGAGTATAGTCTCATTTTTTTTCCGGAGTGTAAATACTAAGTAAAGATAGATAAATTAATCTTTTATTTCAGCTGCCACTTCCCCTTTTCTTTCTCTTTTCACTTGCTATTTGCATCCAAAAGCAGCTTCTTTAAAATACTCTACTGCTCAAGATAATCTCCTCAGACAGAACCTATTTTATCATTTTATTTTATTTTGGGTTTTGTTTTGTTTTGGTTTTATTTTTTTATTCCTTCAGTGAGGAGACGAATGCTTCGTTTCTGTTCCTTGAAGACAGCTCTTTCATGCCTGTCTTAATGGATTAATGATTGCTTGTATGATGCAATGAAATTATATATTTGAATATGAAATTATATGCATTAATTTTATACAAAAAATGCTAATTTTTTTTTGGTAACAACTTTCTTCATGTGGGTAAAAGTTTGTTAAATATTCATTCAGTGCAAAGCAGAAAAAACAGAAAGAAGAAATGGTAATTTCCCAAAATCACACTCTAGGAACTTGTGGCATACACATTTGGAAATCACTTCTCTATTCAGATTTATCCTTCATCTGGACAATTTAGCACTCATACAAGACTGAGATTGGAAACTGAGAACTGCATACTCCTGCATGTCACAGAGTCTGAAATGAGTGCTGCTAGTCAGCAACTTCATTTGGCATAGATGACTCAGACAACTCTTCATTTGAGGCACAGAACTGGGCATTTTGAAAACTCAGCCTCATTTTGGTTTAGTGACGAGATTAAATTTTGTTGGACAATATGAGATTATTTTTAAATACATCCTTAATTTTTAAATATGTCATAAATTATATTAGGATCATGTTAACAACAGCTATTTTAAACATTTAAAAATTACTTACTTATAAAAAAGTAAAATCTCCAGACACTGAATCTCAGGTGTGTCTTTGGGCTAAAATGTTATTTCTAGCAACTACAGAAAACCGTAATACAATGCCTGTTCGTATTTACTATTGCATGATGGCTTGACTTATTTATTTATGCTTCCCCCACATTTTCCTATCTTTCTGCTCTAACTACTGTGCAGAAAAGAATACTTGATAGCTATCCAATTATAAAACCAGCTTAGAGGGGAGTTCAGCTTTCCAATGTACCTCAGTTCCATGGAGTTACTTCCATCTCTTCTGAAACCGGGAAGTAATGAAGTTCTGCAAGACTGCTTGATTATCTGTGATTCTCCAGCCACAGGCATTTGGATAAATCAATTTTTAAAAATCTGATAAGCATTCAAACTCCTAGACACTTAACAGAAGTTATATACGCGTTGAGGTTCATCATCACTATCTTTCAGAAAGCAGAGAAATAAGGTTTAGGTGATTTTGGAATATTGGTATACTAGAGAGACTGCAAGAGAGACTTGTAATTGTTGGGTTTTATTCAATAAAATAATTTTAATCTAAAATTACATATAGCTTTTCTAAGGGCCTATTTCAACTAATAATTTAGACAGTGTAGGAGCTGAAGGTTGTATTATTTTAAAGAAATTGATGGTGATAGGAAGCTGTAAGTGTACATATGCTGCCATCTTCTGGTCCAGTTAGTGGTCTGCACCAGAACTAATCATATGGTGAGCGTACTGTCTCATAAAATAATTTATCATTTGGGTTTTTTTCAACAGGAGTGTGATCAAGTTCATATAGATGATGTTTCTTCTGATGATAATGGACAAGACCTAAGGTAAAATACAGCATTTGTTTCATTTATTTTTCTTCAAAGATTAAATAAATTGAGCATTTACAGGAATACATTGTATTTATTTTTACTGTATTTTGGGTGTTTGCAGTACCTACAGTTTTGCAACTGATGGCTTCCATGCAGCTGCAAGTAGTGCAAACCTTTGTCTGCCAACAGGTGTAAGAGGAGGGGTTGACTGGATGAGGAAGCTGGCTTTCCGTTACAGAAGAGTAAAAGAGTTGTATAATACTTACAAGAACAACATAGGAGGTGAGTTTAATTGTCAAAATGAATTTAGAATGCTGATCAGGCTAAACTGCATGGCAATGAACTCCTGCCAAGGGGATGTGCCTTGGAAGCCACAGATTAATGGAAAGTGATGAGACTGGACCTTGGGCTCTTGAAAGCTACTGACTATAATGGCAGAACCAACGTTGCTCTGTTGTGCAGGAGAACCAGAGATGGGGAAGCCAAGCAGGCTTCCATTTAGCTTCCAGAGAGCCATTTTTCTTCTTCAGACCCAGCTTGGCTATACTTACTTACTGATTGGTTGAGCCACTTATTCTACCTCCGATATGCTGTTACTCTACGGAAGAGGTTGTATATTTTCCACAGTACAAATTGGTTGTGGCTGCACTTTTCCATCCTGCATTTTCATGGTCTGGTTGGTAACAACATACTGTGTGCTAAACTCTCTGCTGGGTACCTGATAGTCTGTTTCCACCGGTGGATGCAAGAAAACTTTAGCACTGCCATGCCACTAGCTTTTTTTGTTGACTCTGTAGCTTACACAGTCAATTGTGTCAGCAAGAAAACCAAGTCTCTTTTGAACTGAAAGCTTTCATGTTACTGTTTTCATTCATGGACTCACTCATGTCCACGCCAGCAGGCTTGTAGGAAATCAAGCAGCAGAAATGAAATAATCTGTTCTGGAGAGTCCTGTGTGACTTGCAGAAATGGCCAGCCCCCTTCTTAGGAGGGGAATATGCCAACTGACTCCCTTGTCAAGAGACTGTGAGAACAGGGAGTACTATACAAATCTTCAAGCATTGCTACGGCCACAGTTGAGGATGAGATGAGGCCCACGCAACCAGGAAGGAGTCCCAAGTGTACACTCTCCCATTCTATAGCATGGTCATTTTCAACTCTTCTGAAATTTGTTTCAAAGGAACCTGAAATTCAAAATAGAGCTCATCTTCAGCAAAACCGGACAGTTGGTGTTCTTTTAGTGCTTCCTGCAGTCTCTCAGAAATGGGAAACATTGCAAATAATATGGACAGTGAATTAGTCATTACCTTAATCAGATATTTTCTAAATTATGTAAATCTGGAATGCATATTTTCACTCTTAGTGGTTCAGAGTCTTCACTTGCCACAGGAAGAAGCAATAGGACCAAAGGGTAACAGTAGATGGTTGGCTTTCACTTGCCCTGCCTTGCCCTTTATTGGTGTCATGGAGTTCTTATATATTAATAATCCTTGAAACTATGTTATCCAAAAGTTTATTGGGTTTTCTTATATCTCCTAATGCATCTAAGATTCTAAAGCTGTTGTATTTCATAAAACCTTTAACACTAGTAAGAGCTTAAATCCACGAGCACAGCATAGGGAAACACTAAGAGGAACAAATCATTGCAAAGGCAGAGTGCAGATATGTAGTGCATTGTATTAAGGTTTTTATTCTCTCCCACAAATACTGCTTCTAAAATAGGTTCCATCCTTAGCAGGCAAGTTCCTTCACTCATCCTCTACCTCTCAGCTTTTAAAATAATCTTTTTATCACATAGATATCTATTTATTTCAAAATAACTGTTAGAAGGCAACAGAATGCTAGATCAAACTAGGTATTTTTAGGTTGCTTCATTTCAGATTTTTGAAGATATCACCACTTCTTGGGAACATGGGGTATGAAAGAGAAGAGGGATACTAAAGGTCATGAAGCCTGCTTCCCTGGTCTTCCAGGAAATGACCCCATCTAGAAATTTAGATCAAATCTAAATTTAAAATAGCTTGGTTCCAAACTCATGTCTCAACATTCAACAGACTGGGTATTTTTAAAAATCTGACCATTTATACCCCAAAGGAGATTTTAAGGTGTTTTTAAGGACTAACTGAGATGTGAGAACATAAGATGTACAGCCATTTCAGGGCTGTAAATGCTATAAAAGAAACTACAACAGGACACAAAGAGCAAGCCATCAGCGACAAATGTATCTTCATATGTGTAACCTGAAGTTCACCTATATACAGAATCATATGCAGGGCAGTCTTAAACATATGCAGATACTGCAACGGCAAGTTTATTCTAAAGTTTCTTCTCAAGTTTCTTCTCTTGTGAGTGTCTCTGCCTATGATCCCGATGGCATGGATCTCTTGCCACTGCCTCTGATAACGAGAGAGTAAGATGTATGTGAGCAGTTAGTTTAAAAAATATGTCTTTCTGAAAGGTATACTCTGAAACATAATAAAGTAGCCTGAATAGATGACAAAAACTCAGATGACTGATTATTAGTATCTGCAGTATTCACTGACATTGCTTCATAGAGTGGAGTGCAAATAAAACCAGAGCAATTTACTGAGCCTTGAAGACTAGATTTTATCTTTGATGTTTTTTCAAGTTCTAGTAGAATTTAAAGTAGGAACAATGACCATAAAATTTATACATTCATGTTAATACAGAATTTAATTTGGTTTTCTTCTTTTCTTGCTTTTTTACATAAAAGGACTCCTGGGTCCTGCTAAAAGAGATGCATGGTTGCAATTAAGAGCAGAGATTGAAGCTCTGACAGACTCCTGGCTAACAAATGCACTTAAATCATTATCAATTATCAGCACAAGGTATGTATTTGAGTCTACTGTAAGAAAGTTTTTAGTTTTGGTTTTGTAATGGCTATTTTTTTGACATTTTAGGTTATAGCAAATTAGCACCTTTAAGGAACAGAACAGTTTTAATACAACTTTTGAATAGGACATAGGAAAAATTCCATGGAAAGTGATTTCATTTTCAGTGATTTCAGCATTTACTAAAGATAATGTGAGATGTCTTCTAAAATGTGATAAATGTCCCTGTGTACATTGAAAGGGTATTGTAGAATTCTGAGATAGCCTGTAATGTTTTATCTTCTGGGCAACATCCTCTGAACTCCACGTCTGTCTGTTCTGACCTTCAATGTTTGTGCCTGTGCACAGTGCTACCTAAATACTGTATAGATCCCAGAATACAAAAGCATTTTTCTCTGTCCTACCAGACAAATCAGTATGCTTAAGCATATATCTGTTTTCAGAAGAACAAAAATATGTTTTAACTGAGTTAAAATTCTCGGTCTCCAGTAGTGAGACATAAAATTAATGTATTGTTCCTTTGAAATTATAAAACTGTGAACACTGCTCCTGCTTAGCTAGTCATGCAATATATATCTTACCTGAAATCCTCAAATTCTCATTTTAAACCATAAAAAGAACAGCGTTAAGCCATCTCGCCTTCTGAACATGTCTGGGGAAAGACTCAGCATCAAGTGGAGAGAACAAACTTGGAAAGATGTGAAAAACTTATTTTAAATGTAACAAGTTTTGCAATATGTGTATCTCTTAATTGTTGTTTATGTAACAGTGTCTTAAGCACTTCAAGAGAAAAAAAGTAAAAAATTTTTGTATGCCAAGGAAGTTCTGCATTTCTTTCCAAATTGCAAAAAGACATTTGGTAATAAAGGTCAGTTGAGCATTGGTGGATGAGTCCAGAAAACTGTTATCAGTTACTCAGGACTGTTAAATAATAGTCTTCTGTCTTGTCTTCAAAGAACTGTACCACTATAAATCTTCAGAAGCTACCCGTGAGGCAGCTAAACATCACCTATATGTTACTGGCAGGAAATTGAGATACTTTAAGGCAGAAATAGTAGCCTAAGGTCTTACTTAGAGTTTCTGGAAGAGCCAGGAGGAAAAATCACAACTACTTGCTCCCAGCTCCATGTTCACATGCTCATGTTCCAGCTTAAAGTAGCCTGGCTCTGAGTTTTCTGTTGTGTGACTGCTAGCACAACTTCTCCATTTAAGTTTTCATCCTCACCATTAGCTAGCTCATTAACATGATTATTATTATCTCTTCCTCTTCTCAGAAATATTCTTACTCTTGAAACATGAAGTGATGTCATTGTGCAGAAATGTATTTGCTGTTTACTTCCCCTCAAGACAGAAGTAACAAATGAAGTTTTCGCTTTCTCTTAACACTTTTATTTGGCTGCTAGCTACTGCCAAGTAATTGCAAGCGTGAAAATTATGCTTTCAAAGCATTAGAATGCCTTATTTTTGAAGGCAGCTAGTGATCTTAAATGTCTGTATTTTAGTGAACCCATCTTCAAGGACCCGTTTTTTATAAACCAGTGTGGAATATTTCCTAATCAGGCCTGCATCATTTTAAAAGGTTTTCACAAAAAGCTTTATGTGCATTTTTCTGGGCGTAATGGTGCTGAGCAGCATTGCTGTGTGAGTGAAAGTAAATGGTGAGGGATCCTGAATATGCTCTCCATAGCTGGTTGACCTCATCAGCATTTGAGGATTGGTTTTAAACTATTTAAACTTTAACTATTTCTCTCATTATAGGAGTAACTGTGTAAATGTATTGGTAACAACAACCCAGCTTATCCCAGCACTTGCAAAAGTCCTGCTATACAGCTTAGGAGGAGCTTTTCCTATTGAAAATATTTACAGTGCAACCAAAATAGGTAAGAAAATTATTTTTTCATGCATACTGACTACACTGCATTACCAATATTTTTTTGCCACTAATGGATGCCACTTCCCTGACACTTACAGTGTTAGTTATAAGATTTAGGTATTGCATATGTTGAGATGCGTTTATGTCAATAAATTCAAAATTCAGCTTATTTTCAGTGATGCCTAAGGAATAAAGGTCCCCATACTGATTAAAACCATCGGAAACTCCTAAATATGGGACAGAAAACATAAAATGTGCAGAAAAGAATCAAGAAAAGAGTTTTGTGAATCCAAATCTAAGCAGAACTTCTGTTAAAATAGCCTCTGCTCTGACCTTCAGCTCTATTTATGCTAGGCCACTGCTTCATAAGCTTTTTCTGGAAGCATAGTACATCAGTAATGGTAATGACAACTGTTAACAACAGAAGCTGTGTTGATGGATGCCACAAGAGCACTTCCCTATTCTGTTGATAACGGTGAACCTCTTGTGTATTGCAGTGTGGAAATTCACGGTTTTTGGAAATGGCACCCAGAATTGTCTTGTAAACCAAGACAAGTTATTATTCCTGTGAAATGTAACACAACCTACAACTGATAATTTTAGCAGATTTCATGATTAACCAATTATTAATTCAAGAACGCTCAATTTCCATACCCATGCCACCTTAAATAATGTGGAGTGTGACACTTCCTTGGCAAAAGCATTACAATATATTTCTAAATGATTTTAGGAAAGTGAAAAAACTTGTGAAAAAACAAGTGAAAAAACAATGCATATTCTAACAGTGTCAGGAAAAACTCTTACCTCAGTCATCCTCTAATTAGCTGTAGCTGTCCTCTAGACAGAAATTCCTCAAATACTTTAAAAACTTAAGTCAAGGCACAAAGTATCCCAAATACCACATGGTACTGAGCAGCCTCTGGAATGAATGTCATCTGTCATACAGCCTGTACATGTTGGATTCAGTCACTGAGATTGCACTCGGACCAAAGGAAGGAGCATTAAGAAATAGTGCCGACAGCACAGAAGGGGGTGGTGAAGTGAAGCACAGTCTCTGGAGGCTCTGTCGAAGTAATTCTGCACCAGGAATTCCTTCTGGGAACAGTGTGGCCGCTGTTACACCCCTGTCAGGAGCACAGCAAACTCTGTTGGGTACAAGATCTCTCTCTACTTTTCATCTCAATGATCTCTACACTGTGCTGAGCACAGGACTATAAGTACAGCTGTTGCTTGCACACACTGAAATCTGGTCCTCACTCAACAGTTAATACACAGGATGCTTTTCCTAATCTTAAGCCATTTTGTGGGCCAGCTGAAAAAAAAAAAAACAAACAAAAAACAAAACCAAGAGGAGAGCAGTAAGAATCAGTGATGTAGAAATCATGAGCTTGTGAGAAGAGACTAAAAACCTGGGGCGGGGATAGACATAATAACAAGCAAGATAAAAAACTATTGTGGAGATTAGAGAAATAATCTTTCTCTACTTTGATGAGAGGTATGAAAATAGGTGATGATTTCTCTGCAATAGGGCATGTGTAGGTTGCATGTCAAAGACAAGCTTCCTAATGGAAAGGGTTAATTAAATATGGAGATCGCCTGTGGAACCAGTGAAATAATCATATTAGTACATTTTTAGGATCAATAGCACAAGCATTTGTTGGTAAAACTGAACCCACAATACAATGAGATCGGTAGAGGACTTTGCTTGGTTCTTTTCAAACCTGTTTACTGCTGTTACTGGCTTAGCCAGCTTGCTTCCACATTTCTCCAAAAGAGCCAAATGCTTCATGAAGTTCTCCCAGGAACCTGTTGTCTAATTTCATTTTTCTTGTCCATTGTTCTTCGAACAGTTTTCACATTGCTACATCACTCGTTGTAGATACATTAGAATTAAAATTTCTGCTTTCCTTGAAAAAATATTACTACAATAATAGGGAAATATTTCAATTATTTATTCACTGACCTATTCATTTTTGCAGCGCTGTTAATTCCTTTATCTTAGTGTTTTTGCAGTAACTATTAAGAAAGAGAGCTAGTTTTACCTGGAACAGCTGAGTGTCACTAAGGGAATTAATTGCTTCTTACCAGTTTTGGCTCTAAATCCCAAGGCTGGAAGCCTTTAAAAAGTAGTAGTAACAGTGTTTTACCACTGCAATAATCCTTTGTAGGGCTTCACCATAACTCACTTGATAGTTTGAATAAGTAGTGCGTTGTTTTTCAGGCAAAGAGAGCTGTTTTGAGCGTATAGTGTCCAGATTTGGCACTAACATAACTTATGTTGTGATTGGAGATGGCCGAGATGAGGAACATGCAGCTAATCAGGTAACTTCACTCTGAACTCTTATCTCATTTATCTTCCAGGAAAAGAAAGTTGCTTTGAACGAATAATGCAAAGGTTTGGCAGAAAAGTAGTATATGTTGTAATTGGGGATGGTGTAGAAGAAGAACAGGCAGCAAAAAAGGTAACCTGTCTTCTGAAATGTTGGTGTGATACATAGCTACTAATGCAAGCCTTTCTGTTTGCATTTCTGTCAGTGTTGCATAATTGCAGAATGACACATAATTCCAGTCCACAGATGCAAGGCAACAAGAGCATGATAAGATAAAAACTTAGAGTAAAATGAACCATTTGGATTCTAGCATTTGTTTCACTTCAGTTTGGAAATAAAAAAACCCCCAAAATTATTTTTAAAATAAATGAAAAAGGATTTAATCAAGAATGACTGACTAGCTTCAAGCAAATTAAAGATAAAAGAGATAGAAAGGGCTATGACATGATGGTTGGATGGTGGTTTTCTTTAAATTGTGAAATCAAGGAGGTTTCATGAAAAGTGTTCCAGAGAATGTGGAAAAACTTCTAAAGGACTGTGCAAATTTTTTGCTAACATGGGTGAAGATCTTTAGCTTACTGAAACGAATATGATGAACATACTTGCTACAAGACATACCTGCAAAAGGAGAAAGAATACAAGATGGAGATTGTGCACCAAATCTGTGTTTCTGAAAGAGAACTGTTTCTTTAGAAATATTCAATGTTCTCATTATAATAATTCAAGTCTAAATTTCACCAGATAAGTTTTCAGTGTTCAGAAACGGTGTAAAATAATAATTTGCACAATACTTCCCAGTATAACCTTGGAAGTGTGCAGAAACTGAAAACCTGACTCACGATGTCTGTAATGGACAAGTGATGTAAATATCGTTGTGCTAGAAGTAGAAAAATAAAGTGCCCCTTTAGTTTTGTAGCTGAAATGGAAACAAAATGAAAATAACCAAAATGCTCATTCCAAATGGTTCCTTAATATAGGTATGGTACTGGTGATGGGTCTTTTATAGTTTGTGCTAAACAAAGGTGGTTGGATTGTGTACTTTCCAGTTTGGCATGCTTTTTTTCTTAACGTTGGCTATATTGCATGGATAGATACAGAATTCAGAGAGATGGATGAATATCGCAGATTACAAATAGATCTGAACACAACATGAAAGTATGGGGGTTTTTCTGATCTGATGAATTGCTGAAGGAAAATAGTGAATATATCTGCATCTCTCACAGACATTGATGCTTTCTGCAACACAAATTATGTGTTTTTTTAAACCAGAAATGTGTTACTTTCTTATCCAAAGAGATTTCTTTTTTTCCCCCTAGATGGAGAAAAATGTAATTCAGCTCTGTTTCAAAGTGTTGTATGTGAAGCCTCTTTTAATGAAAGTCTTATAGCCCTTTGAATAGATCATTCAGTATTTTGCAAGGCTTATTAAATGTGGCACAGAAAGGGATTTCCTATTAACGTTCCTTCATATGGGTATGCATGCTAACAATAAGCAAATAGCCCTTACTAAGTATCAGGCTTTTTCCAAAGAAACTGCTATGAAAGACCAATTATTTTAACTTCAGTTGAACTATTAAGCTCAGATCTATTTTGGTCTGATTTTTGTCAGTACTTTACTAGCAAAAATCAATCCAGAAACACGGTGGTGTAAAATGCGTGGTGGTAATCTGACTATCCTCATGTGTTATATACCACCCTGTGTCACAGTGTTCATCTTTCCTGACCTTTTCCCCCCTCTAACAAACACAGCACAACATGCCTTTCTGGAGGATATCCAGTCATTCGGACCTCTTGGCTCTCCATCAAGCACTGGAACTAGAGTATTTGTAACTATGTTCTAAAGTTGGCGATCTTTTTTTTTATATATGTATTTCAAGTACACTGAATTTTTATGTGTGATTCAATGCCTCTGGCTTTACACATATGAATTGTCTTAAGAAGGGAAGAAATATTTGGAATTAAAAATTCCAAATTGAAGAATTCAGATTGCTGAATGGAGTTAAAACATTAGTGCTACGTAAGGAAGCTCTATGGTCTTACATATGCAACATTTTTAAATGAATTAAAACTGTGGAGGTTGCTGGTACACACCAAGTGAGCCCTGACTGGCGTGAACAAAGGACTCAAACTGGCAAAGCACCAACACACGTTTTCCAGCCGACAAGGTGGTGTTCAACAACATTCCTCAAAATGGGATATATTCTCAGCACTGAGGTTTGAACCAGACTTTAGCCTACCTAACCCAGAAAATCTGAATTGGAATGCACTCAGACTGTATAATGACAATCCTGTCTAGACCTGTAATTTGTGTAAATTATTGATGAAAATAATTTACTGTGACTTTATTAGCAGCTGATTTTGGAAGTGGATGCAATTTTTCTTTCTTTTGGGGGGGCAGGGGAGGGAGAGGGTTATAATATTGTCTCTTTTATAAGTTTGGCAAACAGAATGTGCATAATGATGTGTTGTGCCTTAAAGAGAAGACTGTGTTCGTGTGTTATAATGTAATTTTGGTTAAAAACTATGTAGATAAACAAAAAAACCTTTGTGATAATTTTTGACATGACCAAATTTGCAATTCAGAGAAATCAAAGATCAGGGCTGCACCAAAGCATTTAAGTATTTGTTGCAGTAAGAAAAAATAATAAAGGAAAGTTTGTGTTTTTATTTGGATTCTGAATAATTCCACTGATTGTTTAAGGAAAGTTAAGAGTATGTTGGGAGGTTGATACTGGGGACCGCTACCTTGAAAGATAAAAAAAAGTGTCTAACACCTTCAGCATAATTTCTTGATTCTCCAACAAGAGAACTAATGACCCATATTCATGAATTACTTACTCCACAGAAAGCCATACAGTGAGTGCATCTGCTGTATATATAAAAGAACAAATTCCCACCCATCAGACAAGGTGTGCAAATGGCATTACTGGAAGGTGAAAAATGTGGAGTTAAGCCCAGATGGGGAATAAGACATGAGCTCTTTAAGATGCCCACATGGGGAATAAAACACGAACTTGAAATGAATGAAAAATTACTAAAGAATCTTTCACCAATCAGATGCACAAATGATGCTACTTTTAGCAAGTTCAGGATCAACACAAGCTGCTGAAATTGCTGGCATAACATTGGCCATTTCAGGGTCACAGTTCACTCTGGTAAATGTAACAGCATTTTGGTAGCTTTTCCATTCTGCTCCACATTTATGTGTCTTCTGTTTTGGGTCAGCATGATTTTCCTCATCCATTTTTGATTGTAGAACAGTATTACAAAGGAGCAACCCTAAATGTTTTCAATCAGCAATTTCAATAGCATGTCAGGCATCTGAGGAGAGGATAAGGAGGAGATTTTTATGAAGAAATATTGAGAAATGTATTACCTTAATTTTGATCCTTTCTATTCAGAATTATGGTCCATACAGTGATAATTACCTTGCAAGTCTTGAACATACTACTTTTCAGCTTTGGAAAATAAGCGAGGTCCTTATTGCAGATGGGGTCCCTTGTGCTCCACGTGCAGCTTGAGCACTCTGAAACAACAGCAAGTGTGGTTCATTTCTCATGGCAGAAGATGGAAACTGCTTTTTGATTTTTAACACTGTATGTGGAAACACCTGAGGTTGCCAGTGCTCTGACTGCATGAAGAGGTGTGTGCAAGAGAAGATGTTAAATGTAAACTCCAGGATGCCTACACAAACACAGTAGTTGGCACTGAGGTGAAGATTATCCCTCTCTGTGCTGTGAAGCCACCACGTGTCTAGTTACCAGGTAGTCACTTTGTTGATTTAAACTTTGTAGGTTAAGTGAAAGTTAGCTGGTAGGTGAAAGCCTGGAGCCACTAAAAGTCCAAGGCAAAAGTCCTCTATATATTAATAAAAATGGGACTTTGCTGTGTTAGAATAGGATATACAAGCCACCACACAACAAACGAAATATAATTTATTATCACAGGGAAATTTAAAGCCATCACACAAGACTTGTCACATATGAAATCATTATACACCAGCTATATGGATGATAGATTTGTGTGTCCATAAAGGAAAAATTATGCATACTTTCTTTATATTTACAGTACCTGTCTAGTCAAATTTGGCTTGGAAGTACATTTTTCATAATAAGCTGTAGTACCAGTTTTTGTAGTTTTTCAGGTGGGAAAAAGGTGTTTCAACCAGAATAGGAAAAAAGTTCAAACAAGGCCCTTCTCAAGTTCCAGCATCATGACATTGCATGAGAATCTCAACATAAAAGCCTTTTTAAAACCAAAAATTGGTATGGTGAACTAGCTTATTTTTTTTTTTTTTTTTTTTTTTTTTTTTTTTTTTTTTTTTTTGACGACGATTCATAGTGTTATTTAAATGCATGAAGCAATATTATTTCTCAAGTTATTTGTTCAGCTTTTCAGTGTTCTTTTCCTAATCAGATGTAAGAACAAACAGCAACAACCACTGGTTCTTATAAAAGGTTTGCAGAGCCTTCATTGGAGTTGTGCTTAGCTCTCTGTGGCAGGTATGGCTCAATTATTAGTACTGGACTTCTAGAGAGGAGATGGAGGTGAAAGGAGGGAAGTTTTACAGAGCATGGCAAAGTTCTGATTTTAACTTGGATTGTTTGCTACCATAGCAGAAGTTAATTATAAAAATAAATAATCCACAAAAGTGTACATCCAAAGAAAATTCAAGGATTTAGCTCAAAAGACTTTGCAACACTAAAATTCTAAAACAACATTTTGGAGTGCAAATAATCTCTTGCTAAGCAAAAATTGTTATATATCTTCAAATAATAGTGTATAGTACATGCCTGCCTTGTAGAGAGAAATTACTCTAATACATTTTCCTGCATGAACAATACAGAGGAGAAAAATAACCAAGGCAGAGACATGGTCACGCCAGACTGTTCCAGATGGGCCTAAGTAGATTAAATTAAAGGCTGGTCATTTTGACACTGAGTGCATTTTAATTCAACAGCATATTAATCAGAAACTGCCTTCGCTGCAGCCTCTCCTCAACAACCAAGACTGAGCACAATGTCACATTTGCAAGTATTTGGGGCAAATGAAGCATAGAATAAAATGCCTTTTGCTGCTACTCTAGCAGTTTTCAGTCAGTACAGAACTTGAACGTTCATTAGGCATTTGAATAGCCAGCTTGCAGAATACAAATGCAGTGTGATCACAGTCACGAGTTAGTATCTTACATAGATATAACTGTGCAATCCAGTATATCAGTAAAAAGGACAGGAAAAACTAAAAATTATGCTTATTTTTAGATGTCTATGGAGATGGTGCACAAAGATATAGGTGGCAGCCAGCTCCTAAGTCTGATTTCATTAGAATCCAGTGTGAGCAGCAGTGTTTGCATCTAAACCAGATGCGGAGTATGTTCCAGTGTAAGCACTGACAAGGGAGATGAGGCCAAATCAAAATCCTGTATACAAGCACACTTCATCTCACGGTAGGTAAAATCCTGCAGCCAATCGGAATTGCAGAGCTTATGGAGAATATGGACTTGGCCCATGATAGGAAGGCTAGATTTAGCTGTGAGGTTGTATCTAGATCCAGGGTTTTGGTTCAAAAGTCATCTCTGCTTTACAGGATTGACAGCAAGCATATGCTCTAAGTGAATATGGTATTTAGGATCTCTGAAGAGAAGCTGAAGTGACATGAGCCAAAATCCCAGCAATAGCAGCATTTTGGACATATAATTGAAGCCAAGGGTCTCTGTCATGTATTAGCAGATTATAGTTTATTAGGGCCTACATAATTTAAGAAAATGTAAATTAAAATGAAAAGCTTGTAAAATGATGTACATCTTTACTATTTCTCAATAAATACACTTGGAAATGTCATTTTCTGCACTATACCATGTTGTAAGATGCTTGGTTTGTGGCTGAAACCCTCCATACACAACGTCTCTTAGAGGAACCGAGTATGACCTTAGACTCTTTTTAAGTATGTCTGCACTGCCTTTGTGGTTTGTGCCTGGATCAAATCCTGTGCGCATGTAGTCTGGTAGAGACTGGCTCACCTGCGTGCTGTTTGCAGGGTGCAGCCTCTAGAGGGAACTTCCCTCTGCTCTGCATCAAGGTTTCCTCACCAAGAACCCTAGGCGCCTTTCTCCAGGTGCAGTCTGAGTGACAACTAACACCTTTATTCCAGTGTCCCTGGGGCAAAACACAGGTCAAACTAATTTGATGGTCTTGACACATAGTATTTTTATTTAAATTCACTTACTGTTGTTATGCTAGTACACTTCTTACGAGCATGGGTTGTTCAGGGGACAGACAGCTACTGAAGGAAGCAGCCATTCTAGTCCAAGCTGAACCTCGTAATACTTTGTAGATGTCTTTGGGAGCAGTGTTTCCTGTTTTAGTGAGGTGCTAACCTTGGTGTGAAGGAAACAGTCTCCCCACAGTCTGCTTGCACAGGCTTTAAGGCAAAAGCGGGACTGCAGGTCTATCAGCACGCTCAGACATGACTATGATCTTGGGAACAACACTTGGTAACCACAGTGCTTCAACCACAAGAGACAGATTGTAAATAGTGGATTATTTTTCCCGGGAGCTAGGTTAAAGCATGACTGTTACAAATATAACTGCTCTGTATGTACGTCTGCCTTCTACTCCAATTTTAGGAACGAAAAGGAAGATATAGCAAAAATAGCATGGACAAAATACAAAGGCAGCCCATCTACTGAGCAGACTGACCCATAGTTAACAGTGGTTTTAACGTTGTGTGGGTTTGCATGGGATGCAGGAGAAGAGGAATCCTCAGTACCATTTCAGGAGAGTGAGATAAAAGGAAGTCAGAAAATGGGTTTCCTCCCTATTAAAACTGTGGGAGATTTAACAACTTTTCCCTTTTTATAACAGGATAAAAATGAGATATTGGGGGCTTTTATTTAAGAGCTTTTGTCTGGATATGGCACTACATTAGCTTCATTTTTCATTGCTGAAACTCAGTGCTCTAAATGGCTGTCAATATGTCCTGCACATGACAATTCACAGCACTGAACTAAAGGAAAAGCTTTATACTGAGAGCATTTATGGGTGGGGAAATAACTCTTCCTCATCTGGGTGCAAAAATACCTCTTCCTCATTATCCATTACCTATAGAGAAGACCCAAGGAAAACCAAGCAGAAATTCAGAATGAAATTATCTGTGTGTCTTCCATTGTTTGCCAGTGTGTTATATCTCTAGGGAATGCAGATTTAGGGTTGATTTATTTGATCCATTTTCTTTTTTTTATTTTTTTTTTTCAAACAAATAATGGTTTCAGAAACGTTTTGCAAATATTTATAAATTTAGGAGAATTGTTTCAGTTGCCAAAAGCCCAGGCAGTAGGAGGAATGCTGAGAAAGTCAAAACATCTCAATAGTTTGTTTTTGTATGTTAATTTCTCTACCAATTTCAAGTCTTGATTTTCCAAGAACTTAATCTCTTACTTGAAACCACTAATAAAAAATGAAGATGGAAATTTATTTTTTTTTTTTTTCTGGTTGGGAAGAAAAGGGAGAAAAGGAGAAAACACTGGAAAGTATCACAAATTGATTTGTAAGTCAACAAGAAATAAAATCCTTTGTTGAACAAAGCACCATTTCTCAAATTTGCCAGATGAATTAGTCATCAAACATCCATCTAAACATGGGTTATTGGAAATTCACATATGCACTTTAATAAACATGAAGCAAGAGAGCAGAGAAGCATGAAGGACAGGATTTAAATGAACTATATCATATCAAGGAGTCAGGCTGAGAATGGAGATTAATTAGACTTTTTTTTTTTTTTCTCTGCACTCTCAGTGTCTGGGAGAATAAAGTGCTGCAGAGGAGTGGCAAATGGAAAAGTGTTTCATGTTTCCTAGGCTACTGTACAACCTACTGTGCCTTTCACTAGGAAGCACACACTTTTTCTACATAAAAAAAAAAAAACAAACCCAAACCCAAACAAACCAAAAAAAACCCGAAAACCAACTGGAGCTACTTGGAAAATATTAGAAATTGTTGACTCATTGAAACCAAAATGTGTTTTGGGACTGCACACACCAATGTCAATGAATGGAACATTTCTAGTCATGTTTAGAGAAGGAGTGAATCAGGACCACACCACATCAGCCAGAAAAATGTCTGAGCCATTGCAGGAGTCTGGTGACTGCAGCTCTCGGCTGGTTTATCAAGCCCCTGGTTCTTTGCTTTCAGCTCATCTGGGTTACGACACTGGTTTTTAGCTTTCTGGCTCAAAAAGGTGCTAGTTTGGTCCAGTAGTGAAGGGGAATGTTTCTGAAATCAGTAAAAGAATGAGAGTGAAAGATAAGGGAAGGGAATAAAAAATTTAAAAAAAAAAATCTCCCTCCTTACCAACTAAAACCACTATGTCCATTGTGAAGGGCTCTGGGGGAAAAAAAAAAAAAGGCTTCCCAGAAAGGATTTAGCCACTGAGAAGCTATGGTTAGTTGGTCAGTGGGCTGCAGGCTGAGGAGGGGCAGACAAGACATGGGAAAGACCAGCAATCAGAAAGGGCATTTTACCTGGACAGTGTGTGGATCTTTACGGTTTTACAGCACAGCCTTATTTGTGTTCTTTGTGCTCTGAAGTCCTAGTGTATACAGGTACCCCCTCCAACTGCCCGACCAACTCTGGTTCATGTTGTTTTTCAGAATCATCTTTGATTCTTTGTTTCTCTCTGGTTTTACACCTTTCTGTTACATTATTGCACCTGCAGCCCTTCACTGTCTGTGAATTTGCTAGGATCCCAAATAGCCTTTCAAGTGTATCAGCTCCTTACAGCTTTTGTGGGAAACATAAAGAGGGCTCCAGCAGTGTCATATTACATGGCCCACAGAAGCGAGTCCCTGCCTCCCTGCCAACATGGGATAACGGGGTTGTAGGGGAACAAGATGCACACACAGGACTAGCCATAAGCAGCAGCCCCAGTCCATCCAGATGTGCTACTCTCCCTTTGGTGGGCAGGGCTGGAAACGCTTCCCTCTGCCACTGCTTACAGCCATACAATAGGGAGCAACTGTTGTTCTTGTAAGAGCAGGCAGGCGGGAGATGCCATATGCTTTTGCAGAGCAGCAGGACACAACACATATTTAGCCTTCCAGGGTGGGAGCACAAGCAGAAAACTGGCAGCAAAGGCTTGTGCACAAAGGTAAACATAAGGGATTTGTGGGAGAAGCACACACACAATGAATGTGTCTATTCGTGCGGTTGGGGGTGACACATTGAGTACAGCTTGCCGGGTACACTAGTAGGGAGGTTGTGTCTAGTATCGTGAGCCTCTTAGATAGCCAAGCAAACACCAGGCACTCAGCAGCAGGACTTCTTTGCAGGTTTTTTTGGGGGGGCATGAGTCAAACTCCCACCCAACCTCTCACGCACTCCTCCCCACAGTGGGACCAGGGAAATAAGAACAGTAATGAGAAACCTTGTGGGTGGAGATGAAGACAGGGAGATTGCTTAGCAATTACTGTTACAAGGAAAACAGACTCCACCTGGAGACAATTAATTGATTGCCAATTAAAATAAATATTTATTCACTGTATTAGGCAGTGGGAAACAAAAAGGAAAATGTTGAAACAACACCTCTCTTCCCCCCCTTCCCATGCCTGACTTCACTCCTTCAATGCCAACTCCTCTATGGCTCATGAGCAGCACAGGCAGGATGGAGGTGTATGGCAGCTACAGTCAGTAAGTACACAG